TCTTCTCTCCTTTCCTCTGATCTCTCTAATCTCCCTGACTTCCTCGACTGACCCTCCTTTGCTCCCCTCGTCCCGCAGCTTCCGTTCCCTTTCGGACTCAACTTCGAAGTCACACTTTCGGTCCAACCAGAAAGATGTCCGGCACTGGAACTGGCAATGGCTCCTTAAATCCCGGCGAGCACACTTCACTACTCGGCCACCCACCCTCCCCTCCCCGGTTACTCGCCGCATGAGGTGCAGAATCATGGCAATCACCATCATCACCCCAATGACTCTCGTGCCTGGGTTCGCTGGCCCCAGCATGTCGTGCGTCTGACTTGGTTGACCCTGGTCCGCGATTATGTGAACGTGCTTCTGATCTTTGTGCCGCTGGGTATGGTGGCTGGTGCCCTCCATTGGAATTCCACTGCCATCTTCGTCCTGAACTTCTTCGCTATTATCCCGCTCGCCTCGCTGTTGAGCTTTGCGACGGAGGAATTGGCTGGTACGATGGGTCAGGCACTTGGCGGTCTGATGAATGCTACTTTTGGTAACGCTGTGGAATTGATTGTATGCAATTTTCCCTCTTCAGTTCTTCAGTTCTTCATATCTTCACGCTCTTTGTGGAACTCTTCCCTTCCACAGTTGCTGACGCTCGATCGATATCTAGGTCAGCATTATCGCTCTCAAGGAGAACCAGATTCGTGTCGTTCAGGCTAGTATGCTGGGTTCCATTCTCTCCAACATCCTCCTCGTCCTGGGTTGCTGCTTCTTCGTCGGCGGTCTCAAGTACTCCGAGCAGAGCTTCAACAGCACCGTCGCCTCCACCATGTCGTCCCTCATGGCTGTCGCCTCTGCCTCGCTGATCATTCCCGCCACTCTCTATGCCGCAATCTCCAGCTCCTCCCACGATGGCAACAAGGAAGCCCAGGATAACATCCTCACCCTGTCACACGGAACTTCCATCATCCTACTCATCATCTACGTCATGTACCTCTATTTCCAGCTTCGAAGCCACGCCGAGTTATTCGAAGAGACCAACGCCAGTGACACTGAGGGCGGTGCCGGAGCCGCCGAGGAAGAAGAGGAAGAGGAGCGCCTGCTCAACCCCTGGGCTGCGACCGTCGCGTTGATCGTCGTGACTATCATGGTCGCCATTTGCGCCGATTACCTCGTCGGCAGCATCGATGATCTCGTCCAGACAACCGGCATGAGCAAGACCTTCATCGGTCTGGTCCTGATTCCCATCGTCGGTAATGCGGCGGAGCACGTCACGGCCGTTGTGGTCGCTTATAAGGATAAGATGGATCTGGCCATTGGCGTTGCTATTGGAAGCAGCTTGCAGATCGCCCTTTTCGTCACTCCCTTCTTGGTCATCTTGGGCTGGATCATGGGTATTGAGATGACCCTGCATTTCCAGACCTTTGAGACTGTCGCCTTCTTCATTTCGGGTCTGGTTGTTACCTTGCTTATCCAGGATGGCAAGTCGAATTACCTGGAAGGCGGCATGTGTCTTGGCATGTATGTTATTCTCTCCTCTCTCCGATCTTTCTTACTCCAATCCTTTTTGTATATCCCTTACTGACCCCGATTTCAGGTATCTCATTCTCGCCCTTGCATTCTACGTCTACCCCGATGACGTCGGTGATGGAGTCGGCATCATGAACAACCTTGCGAATTAAAATGGGTTGGTCTGTCTACCCTACGTAACTAACTAGTACTGCATATTGTAAGAGTTGCGCGAGTGAATAATCCCCGCTACTTCCGGCTCGTCAGAGCTGTCTGCTGGCCCAGTTGGGTGGTATATCTCATTTTTTGTCGCAATAGCCAAGCTGGTCTGTCTTATTGTGTCTTCAAGAGCCCTTGGACATACTGTCCTCTGTTTTTTTTCCCCTTGTCTATGGTACATTCTTGTGTTTATATCCTTATCTCCGAATTGAATGAAATTAAACAAACCTCTTCTCGGATATCCTTTCAATACTGCATTTGGGACTTTCGGTATGTGTTTCACTTGCCTTTTTGTCCTGCTTGCAGTGGCTACCTCATAGTTTATGGTTGCGAATAGTCAACCCAAGCGCAGACCCAGCAAGCGAGAGGGCTAGCGACATCACTGAGTCCTAATTAGTCGGGTCCCCATCAATTCGTTTTAATCATGAGAGAAAACTTGAAAGACTCACGGTATGTAGAACGCAATCCACCCACGTAACTCTTGACCACAATTTCTCGAACTTCCCCAGTAAGTCCTGAAATATAGTGTGAATTTTCCAGAGAGTGACGAATGATCTGACCCAGTTAGCCAGCGTCTAGAAACAGTTCAAGACATACATCTCTATGCCTTCCAAGGTTCCGAATCCTTACCTTATCTGCATTCGGCACCGTGAGATCACGAAGCATATTCCACTTGAACGTTGACGTCAAAATCGAATTCGTCGTCGTAACACCGGCCGTCATGGCAATCGAGAAACCAAGCATATAACCACCAGTGGCCATAATAACCTCATCCGGATCGCAGAAAGTCGTCAAAGCCACGAACGACGCAGCCGACGCAAACGCAGTCCCAATACCACCGGGGACAATATACAACGACTCCCAAACAGAAGTATTCCCATTCCAGCGCAGATAAAGCAGCAAGTACGAGATAGACGCCACGAGACCTGCAAGGAACAGAACAGGTTTATAGTGTCCTGTGCGTCGAATAAACCACCCTGCAATTAGGCCGCCGATTGCATTGCCCACGACGGAGGGGACGAGATGGGTGCCTGCCACGGCGGCGGGAACGTTCGCGGTGACTTGGAAGTATAGGGGAACCGTGTACATCATGCTTGATTGGGCGGCTATTTGTAGCATGCCGATTAAATAGCATGTTGAAACGTTTGGGAGACGGAGAATGGCCAGGCTGAAAATTGGCTCCGGGGCTACGGAGTGTTCGTAGTAGATGAATGTTGCCAGGAAGGTGAGTCCTGAGCCGGCGAGTAGGAGAGCATAGAGGGAGGTCCAGGGGAATGTTTTTCCGCCTCGGTCGATTAGCAGGGTGAATGAGACGACGCTAGTGGCTAGGAGGAGACAGCCGGGGATATCGACGCGGCGGATTGAAGGTTTTGAATCTTCGTTTGTGGTGCTTTTTGATTGGGGTGTGAAGCGGAGGAAGATTGTTACGAGAATTGCGGCAACGCCGAGTAGGGGCGCTTGGGTTAGGAAGACCCTAAGTGATGGAAGTGAGTGAGTGGTCTCAATGAGGAATTGAGCTTAATTCCAGGAGAGTAAGACTGTACCAGCGCCATCCAATGGTATCAGTGAGCCATCCTCCGATTGGCCCGCCGATGCTTCGACCCAGAGTCATTGAGATATTGACAATTGCTCTCCAAGCAGCTAGGTCTCGCTTTGGTACGACGTCTTATCAAGTTAGTACTCATGTTTCGCCTTCAAAATTCTTCGGTGTTGTACCCAGTATGATAATTGATCCCATCGCCATGATACCCGCTCCGCCCATTCCACTGACAACACGGCCAAGAATGACAGTCCACATGGAGGGTGAGATACCGCTAGGTACTCTATGTTAGTCACAAGAAGCAAAAGCAATGATGCAGAAGTAAAATCTTACCAGATAATGCATCCTAGTGCGAGGAGAAAATACGCAACTAACAGAATTGGTTTGCGGCCGTATATGATGCTGAGTTTGCCATACTAGTAGCAACTGTCAGTTTAGGCCGCGTGCTCATGATAATAACCCTTCAATTTTCACCTACGATTAACTGTACAGAGCCGACGCCCAATGCAAAGGCCGTTGCCAGCCAGCTTGCATCCTGCAATTTGTTGAATTCAGATGAGATGGGACCCGCCGTCGCCATGACGATCGTAGAATCGGCATTGGATATGAATTCACCTAATGAGGCGTTAGGAAACGGATCTTCGTTGGAAGGAAAAGGAAGGAATGAAGATGTGAATACCAAGTAAGAGAATCACAATAATACTGGTCACACTGCCCATGCACCCTCCGCCGGCGGACTTTGTGCTTGCATCATCGACCGAGCTTTCGTCACTGCTTAAGGGACCTTGCTCTGTCTCCGATAGTAGATGAGTTTTGCTCAGAAACGTCGAGTAGAGCTGCTCTATGTCTTCATCGTCCCTTCGATCCGAGAGAAGAGGTGTGGTGTCATCGTCGATACTACTAGCAGTAGCCATGGTATCACAACGGGCCGTCAACACGTGGAGGCACCGGCAGTATCGAAACTAAGCTTCTTCCTTTTTTGCAAATGGCCCGGGTAATTGGGAAATAAAGACAGAATAAATATCTCGAGCTGGGGCTTATGAAAAATCAAAACAGCCCTACGGCCCGGGGGCAAACGCGAAGTCATCGGCTAAGAACCCTTTCCGAGACTACTACCCACTCGAGCATAGTTGACTCATAAGGATTTGTACAGAATAATACTAGTAACATGTTTTAGTGTCATTTCGCTTGTAAAGGTATGCAGATGATGCCATTTTAGAGCGGGTGTTCTCATGGGCCTAGCATAGTTCCTATTGGCTGTCTCCCGATTGGCATCAACGGCCTGGAAATCTACCGATTATCGGTGGTCTGTGCACTATGAATAAGGGAATAATGAATCCCGAATTTGGATTGGACCCTTTCAGATTCTTGCTTTGGGGTTGTTGAAAGGCTGAGCTGTGCGTGATAGCAGATAATACCGGAGGGCTTGGAAACAAATCTGTGCAGCTGCGAAAAGTTACTGTGTACGGAAGTATCCATCTTAATGGTACAGTAAAGAAGGCTCGCTTATTTTATAGTTGTTTATGAGATTCAGGCCCAGACCCCACGCCTTGGGAAACCTGTTTCTTCACTAGTATCTATCACCTCATCCATTCTAAAATCTCACAATTGATCTTGGCCATCATGCCCCCATTACAAAACCCGAGTGGTACTATGCATAAGGTGTTGTTAGAACTTGATTTCTCCATATACCTCAAAATCTCAATTAGCCATCTTCTATGCGGCAGTGATTCTCTGCCCCAAGACGAAAGAAATGAGGGGAACTTCACTCTTGAATAGGCTCGCAATTATACTCGGTGTCGTACAGACAACATGCGCACTAGGTTACAATGGCCAACAGCAACAAATCCTTGGGGCGGCGGCGAACGTCAAAGATAACCGACCAAACATTATTTTCATCCTTGTTGACGATCAAGATCTATTGCTAGACTCAATCAACTATATGCCAAACTTGAATAAACATTTAGCGCAAGAAGGCACCTTCTACCGAAATCATTTCGTCACAACGGCGCTTTGTTGTCCATCCAGGGTCAGCCTTTTAACTGGCCGACTAGCCCACAATACAAACGTCACTGACGTGAATCCCCCATATGGTAGGTAGCCGGATTAGGAATATCAAGAGCCCTTAAATATTCATTTCCGTTTAACTCTTCCTAGGTGGGTATCCGAAATTCGTTGAACGGGGTTTTAATGAAGACTACCTTCCAGTCTGGCTTCAAAATGCAGGCTACAACACTCTTTACACGGGAAAGCTATTCAATGCACACACTGTCGACAACTACAATACCCCTTTCGCTAATGGCTTTAACTCGTCTGATTTTTTGCTGGACCCATACACCTATTCATATCTAAATGCAACCTTCCAGCGCGATTCCGACCCACCCGTCAGCTACGAGGGTCAATATACCACGGATATTCTGAAGGGAAAGGCCTTGGATCTCTTGGAATCTGCAATAAGTCAAACGGATCCATTTTTCCTCACTATTGCTCCGGTGGCACCCCATTCAAATGTTCACTCGAATGGCCCTATCATCCCCGGAGTGGATCTCAAGATCACCGCACCAATCTCCGCGGAAAGACATCAACATCTTTTCAAGGACGTGAACATCCCGCGGACGCCAAATTTTAATCCCGATGAGGTATTTTCCCGCTCTGGATCATGAATAGATTATGATTTCTAACGCGAGAACAAAAGCCGAGTGGCGTAAACTGGGTCGCACGCCTGCCTAAGCAGAACCAAAGCAACATCGACTATAATGATCACTTCTATCGCTCAAGACTGCGAGCCCTGCAACCCGTGGACGAACTGATAGCCGAAGTTGTTGATATCTTGGACGATAATCATATCTTGGACAATACCTACATCATCTACACTTCAGACAATGGGTATCATATCGGGCAACATCGCCTTCAAGCGGGCAAGGAGTGTGGATTTGAAGAAGATATTCGGGTTCCATTTATTGTCCGGGGCCCGGGTGTCCTGCCAAACTACGAGGAACTAGCAATCACTACACATATTGATGTGGCTCCGACACTTTTTGATATTGCCGGCCTGCCTCTGCGCTCGGACTTTGATGGTACTCCTATCCCTTTGAAGCATGAGCTCAATTCAAGCGACCCCGTACGTCATGAACACGTTACTGTTGAATATTGGGGGCTAGCTATCCCGGAAGGGAAATACAACACGCTAGGTAAGCTACTCATGACGGCATATCTTTGACTTTCATATTCAAGAAAACTGACCAGCACATCTCCTTGCTAGGTCCCGACAATCCGGAAATAATCACGAACAATACCTATAAGTCGATACGCATTCTCAGCAGCGAGTATGATCTCTATTATTCAGTCTGGTGCTCAAACGAGCACCAACTCTATGATCTCAAGGTATGTAATCTACACTTAAGCTCGCCAGTCAGAAAGGTTCTGGGAGAAATTGACCATTTATCATAGACCGATCCATACGAGCTGAATAACCTTTATGTGACAGCAAACTCCCCAGGGAGCTTTGATGAGAGTCGGAAAATCCTCGGTGTTTCTCTAGAGAAAGTTATTCATCGTCTCGACGCGCTACTTCTTGTCTTGAAATCCTGCCAGGGACAGACTTGCATTCGGCCCTGGGACGTGCTGCACCCGGAAGGGAAAGTTGAGACATTTGTGGATGCATTGGACGTGAAGTATGATGGGTTTTATAATGTTCAGTCCAAGGTCTCCTTCAGTCGGTGCGAATTTGGATACATTCTCGACGCCGAGGGGCCACAAACGGCCTTGACCTATCGAGACGGCATCGAGTGGCATCACTGGGTTTAGAATGAAGACAGTTTATGCTATAAGTTACAAGTATCCAAAAAGTTCACAATCAAGATCCTTCCTTCCAGTTGAATATAACCCTTCATTATGTCATGGTACCCCGCTTATCGTGTTATCTTCTCGCGGGGAAGCCCAGCTGGAATCCACATTGAGGGTAACGTAGTGCGAGTAATCGCGACGATGTGGTTGGACAAATCTCCAATTTCTAACTCTTTCCCCAACTGCAATCTTCCCCCATTCATCGGCCCTCTGAAAGTTGGCCGACAAAGAAGCCCTCTTTAAGCGGGGGTTGAGGAATCAATTACCTAAACGAACTCCTCGGCAATCCAAGTGCGGAACGATATAAGTGTCCGTGACCTCCGCCGAATCGAACTCACCAAGCGCACCACTAAACGCATCGGAGGGGTTGATTTTGTACACCGGAATCGCTCAGGATTCGAGGTGGAGCCGCACCATGGGTGTTTCTATCACTTCGCTAGTCGCGCTGGCCATCGCAGGCTTGGCCTTTTATAAAGTCGTTATATACCCATACTTCATCTCGCCACTCGGAAAGATTCCCAATGCACACTGGAGTGTCCCCATATCCCCGGGCTGGATGCTATGGAGAAGATTTTGGATGCAGAATAACCGTACTATCCAGGCGGCGCATGAGAGGCTTGGTCCTATCGTGAGACTTGGACCGTCGGAGATATCAGTGAATTGCGTTGATGGAGGGATCAAGTCTGTTTATACCGGGGGTTTTGAGAAGCATGAGTGGTACCCACGGGTGTTCGGATCGCTTGGGTAGGTTTCTCAAATTTATTCTATTCATCCAGGAAATGAAGCTCACACCGCCGATAGAACCGTAAGCATGTTCACTATGATCGGTACTAAGGCCCATTCCGTACGCAAGAGAATGCTGTCCAACATCTACTCGAAATCAACCTTGCAGACTTCGCCCCATCTACGCGTTGTCTCGAATGCAGTTATCTATGATCGCCTGCTTCCAATATTGCAAGATGCGGCGAGTTCAAAGAAATCGATCGATGTGCACGATCTCAACCAAGGATTGACAATGGATTTCGTCTCATGCTATCTCTTCGGCTTACAGAATGGCACGAATCACCTGCAGGATCATGCATTCCGCAAGCACTGGCTTCACATGTATCTCTGCCGCAAGCCATTTGAGTTCTACCACCAGGAGACCCCTCAGTTGATAGGCTGGATGAAATGTATGGGTTTGAGGCTCATCCCAAAATATTGCGATACCGCCAATGACATGCTCGATGCGTGGGCATTGGACCTCTGCGGCAAGGCAGCTCAATCACTCAACTCAACGGACCCCTCTATCGAGCCTATTGTATACAAGCAGCTGAAGCAGAGCTTGGATAAACAGGCGGCAAAAGAAGGTGGTCCAAAGCCGGACCCTGCGGAGCAACAGAATGATATTGCATGCGAGATGTACGACCAACTGACAGCAGGGTTTGAAACCAGTGCTGTCGGCTTAACCTATCTGCTATGGGAATTATCGAAGAACCCGGAGCTTCAGGGCAAGCTTCATGAAGAGCTGATGACGTTGGATCCTCCCATCAGGTCCCCCAAGTCCGCTGAGCTTCCTCCAGCGAAGGCGGTTGATGCGCTGCCATTATTGGAAGCTATCGTCACCGAGACATTGAGACTCCATGCTCCAATTCCTGGGATCCAGCCGCGAGTCACACCGGCGCCATCTTGTTCTCTCGGTGGCTATGATAATATCCCAGCCAACACCCGTGTTAATGCGCAGGCTTACTCGCTACACCGCAATCCAGAGGTCTTTCCAGAGCCCGAGACATGGAGACCGAGCAGGTGGCTCATGGAGGAAAACTCGATTGTCGATCTCGAAGAACAGAAGCGCTGGTTTTGGGCGTTTGGAAGTGGAGGACGTATGTGTGTCGGAAGTAATCTCGCGTTACAAGGTAAGTGCATGGTAAATCATTTCACTTTGGTGGATTTTCTTTAACATTAGTCCGTTTAGAAACCAAGCTCGTCGTCGCAGCGATATACTCCAACTTCCGGACAACAATTGTGGACGATGATGGCATTGAAGCCATCGATGCATACACGGTCGGCCCGCAAGCCGAGAAGTTGACCCTGAAGTTCCATCCACTGTAGAGGACAAACTGTTGTAGAAGTTCAAAGTTGAGAATATTGATACAATCAATTCTTTTAAAGACAATGCCGCTGCCGTAGTCGACATAGGTAATATACTGTACAAATGTGCCGCAAAGAATCCCCCAAACTCCGAAATGAACAACTGCAGCGGGTGTGCCCTTAATATCGATGCGCATATCCATCTCTCTCGTGGTCCCAGCTGTTGTCCATGCAAATAGAAATGCAATCTAGCCCAGGACACCGTCCTTCTTCCGCGGGCCCACAACCTTGGGGTACATTCTCATCAGGTGGTAGTTGACGGTGTTCTTCTTCTTCTCTTGGGGTTTCTGCGGGGAAATGGATCGTCAGTATTTGTGAGCGGATAAAAGAGGCAAGACGGGGAAATCGAGGATCATACAGGGGCATCCATGCACTTGCGCAATTGCGCCTCGAGGGCAGCGCAGCCTTCGGCGTTGTATCCTTGGGAAGCCCAGCAGTCTGCAACGCGGGATTGTCAGCAATTGGTCTCTTGGGAATAAAGGATACATGGGGACGTACTAAGCATGGTCGACATGACAGTCACACAAGGGTTCTGCTCATTCTGGTTGGGTCGGCGAACGCGAAGGTGGTTGATGGTGTTCAGGCGAAGCGGGTTCAACCGGGTCGAGATGTTGCCCTTGGGAGCCATGGCGGAGAGAAAATGTCGATCTGGACCGAGCGAGTGACTAATTTGCCGAGCGACAGAGGTATTGAAATGCCGCGATAGGCTTCGTGGACAAAGATGGAAAAGTGGACGCCTGCGGAGGAGCTGCGACGACGAAATCCCTGGAAGTTTGGGCTCCGCGGAGGTGGATGACTCAGCAGCTTTCCGGGCGACTTGCCACTGTCGAGCTCAACTCTTTCAGCAGCCAAAGTGATCAACCTTGACTTGTCTTTTTCTATTTCTTGAAAGGATATAAGGGCTTTCTGAGAAGGTGTTCGAAATGAATGGAACACAACTCTGGAGCTCGCCGTTACGTCGGGCGCCTGCTTGCGCTTGGAGGAGCTCAACCCCGGCTGCGAGACGTTTCACAGCGGGGTGTCAATGGAGGCAGGGTGCAGACTCCTCTTCGGGGAAATCCGAAAATGAGAAGGATCGGGATGATGGTAACCAAGAGGAGGAGAAAGAACAAAGCGCTATGTCTCGTCGGCTGTCCCAGATGACCGAAGATGCAATGTTAGAGGGCGGCCGGTCCGCGCGCCGCAATATAGAGAACGCAGGATTCTCGGAGGATCTGAAGAGACAGCTGGAAGAAAGGGTGTTGGCGTCGTCTTTCAAGAGCGAGCATGCTGCTGCCCACTCCATCCTCAATATGCCGGTAAGCAGTGGACTACTATTTGGGGGTACTATTCGCCAGTAACTGATGTGTATACTTAATCCTACAGACGAGTGCAGGCCAAGGAACCCGAGAGACAGCTGCGGCTCAAGCATGGACAGGAAACGAAACCCTTCATGACTCCGCCCTACGCATGCTTGACGATGCTAGCAAACCAATTAGGACACCATACAAGATCCCCCAGCCCGTCGATCTGAAACCCGCTCCCAAACCGAAGCATACCCCAGCGAACGTCTTGCTCACGCAAAAGACCGTACATCTACATACGCACTGAGCCAAGCACCTGGATTCTCGGAAGAACAGCGCGAGGAAATGCGTCGAGAGATGAGGGAGAAGTTGACACCCGGTGCGCACTCCATGCCTATCTCCATCCAGGGCCTATCCTCACTTGCGAATGAACGAATCGAAGATGCAATTGCACGCGGTCAATTCCAGAAAATTAAGCGCGGGAAGGGGGTGAATACAGAAACGGATCATAATGCCAACTCGGCTTTCATCGATACGACGGAGTACTTCATGAACAAGATTATCCAGAAGCAGGAGATTGTTCCGCCTTGGATCGAGAAGCAGCAGGAACTTGCGATGGAACTCAGTCGGTTCCGACAACGTCTTCGTGCTGATTGGAGGCGGCATGCCGCAAGGTTAATTGCAAGCCAGGGCGGGTCCTTGGAGGCGCAGATGAATCGTGCGAGAGGACATGCTGCAGCAGAAGTTCGCTTAAAGGAGCAGACAAAGCTGGAGGCATCGTTGAGGAATACTAGCGAGGAGGCTGTCATCTCAGAGATCGATACCGATGGTCGCATTGTGTCAAAGACCGAATCACCTGGAATCGCTGCCGAATCTGTCGGCGATAACACGACAAAGAGTATTCCCCATCTTCCGCCTTTACGAGATCCGACATACTTTAATAATGAACGCTCTTATCACGAACTTGCCGTGAAACAAATAAACGCCATCACCCGCTCCTATAATCTTCAAGCGCCCCGCTCGGCTCAAAAAGGATACATCAATTTGGACCGCGAGCTGAATGCCTGCTTCAATGAAATTGCACCGCAACTAGCCGAAGAGATCCGTCGCCGGGCTACAGAGCGGGCACGCAGTCCTATAACCATGGGTGGATCCTCATCGAGTATGCTTGGCTCACTTGGAACTGGACAAACAGCTCAGATTTATGAGGAAGATGGAGGAAAGGCGTATGGAATGAAGGAAATGTGGCGAGATTTATTCTCGAAGGAGAAAAAATAGGACACATGGAAGCTACACTTGTGTCACGGATATCAGCGTGAGCATCTCATTGATCTGTCCTTGTATATACTACCCACTACTCACCTGGGCATGAATCGACACAAGACTACTAGTAGTACTAGTATGACATGCAAATTTGAAGAACTTAAGAAGAACGAGTAGTGACAGGCGGAGATACCGCCCTTGTATTTTGCCATTCAACTTATGCGACTCGTGATTCAATTTGATTGTTCGCGGGTTTTTATTTCTAGAAGAATGAGAAGGGATCCACAAATGGGATAAAGCTATTTCATTTGAAACCCTAGAGACTATACATAGTGCATGGCCGTTGGTATAGGCTGATCGCCAAAGTAACAACAAAAAGCAAACAAAAACCTCGAAGTCAATACTAAAGCCCCACGCCGGGGAATGCCACAAATAGAAACAAGAATAAAAGGAGTATTGGGCGCTCCAAAATTTTCAAATGGCCGGACTGGGCATACGAGCGGGAAATACTGGACCATTAGAAAGGTTGTGATCCGAGGAAATTCGATTCCATGGCCTTTTCAACGTCCGCTGAAGCACTTGTTGATTGATGGGGGGACGGAGCAGGAATGTTTGGTTGGTTGACTGGACATTGGGCGAGCCAGGTTTCGGCCGCCTGATCTTGCTCGTCTCCATCTCTTCGTTTAACAGCCTCCCACAGAGAGTAACCCAGATAAATCAAAGGAATTGTGATGATTAGGAACGTCAACGACCCCTGCATTTCCATGGTTTTGCGAAAAACTTCGAACGGATGGAGGCAGGGTGCTGCTGAGGTGGCCATCGGAAACCCGAAGCTCATCGAAAAGATGGCAAATAGGAGGTAATAGAAGGAAAGTTTGAAAGAATGCCGTGCCCATATCATCACGTTCTGCGGTTGATAAAGCTTGGGAATGATCCGAAGAGGACAGTCGGTCCAAATTCTGAGGGTTCGAAGCCCATCCACGACCATGACAGCAATTAAAAAGAGTAGGAAGAAACCGAACTCAATCAACACAACACTGAACAAAAAGAGCAAAGAGGCCCATGCACTATCAACGCCAAAGATCAAAGGTGTGACGCAGCGCGTTGTCTCTCTGGTGTCAATGGTAGTGGTGCAGTTTACTACCTCCTTCGTGACCATGTTAATGGCGCAGGTTACTACCACGTTGGTCTCCATGGCAGTGGTATGGTTTTGGAGAGCTCCGAGGTTTCGTTTCAATGGAATGATGAATTGATGCCAAGGTATCTTCGGCCAGTCATCAGGAGGCCAGCCGGCTTGTCCCAAATCGGAGTCGCCAAAGGGCAGGCGAGAGATGAGTTCGACGTTATCTACCCAGATTTCGTTGACAGCGTTTCCTGGAGCGTAGATGTCGGAAGATTTGACGCCGTGCACGGACGAGACGTTGTGGCCCATGAAATAAGATAGGATCTTGGTAAATGTTTTGTGTAGTGAAGTGAGTATGAAGATGGGTGAGAGGAAGAAGAGGAGGAAGAGGAAGAGGGAAGTAAAGAAGTAAAGAAGTAAACAGACTGCCACTTCGGGAAGGAGTGAGGCTATTCCCGGCAGGCACGATGCACCTCCATCACCTGACTTCTCATCTATGTACACGCTTGTGACTTCATCCTCAACTTCAACTTCAATTTCAACTTAACTTCAACTACCCACAATGTCCTCACTTTCAAGGCCCAGTTCTATACTACTAGTCTACCATTAAACTCGTCACACTACTGCAAGTGGACCGTGCCACTCTGCCAAGCCTCGCGATTGTGACGGCCGATCTACGACCGCTGACTGGTTCCCCACGGGTGACGATCGTGCAGGTGGGCGCGTATTTACAGCCAACGACAGGCTCAAACCATTGCCTTCTCACCTGCACCCCCAACATTGCCTTCACCTCGTCACACTCGATGGCTCACGTCTTATACCAGGCCCCTCCCTCTCCTGCCGCCTCGTCACCTCTGAAGCGCAATGCGCCCTTTCTCTCCCCCAAGATTCGTGCTTCGCCATGCCGATCAACCCAAAGTGACCCAAAGTGACTGCATTTGCCCTTAAAATTGATCCCTCATTCCCCGCTGTGCTTTTTTTAAAAAAAATCGAGCCACATCCAGGGTCCCTGAAATGCCTCCCCTGCTCACCTCTTGGTCTTCTGCGTTTCTCCTGTCCTTCGTTTATATTCTTCCGGTCTCTGGACATAGTGACTTTCAGACAAAACGCTCGGGCACTATCAATGACCGACCACCGCTAGACAAGGCACTTTTAGGAATCCAGGTCGGCAGCATTTGTGCTGCCTACGTGATCTTCGTTGCCGTTCTCCTTGGTCTACTACTCCTGGTCGGGCGTCGACTACGACGGACTGTTCAGTCCTCAAACTATTCTCTGCAGATGCAGATGCTGAAGCCAGTAAAGCAACCTGTCAGCCTAGACCCTAGTCCGATCTCTCCCGTCTCGCACAACCTACCCAGTCCCACATTGGCCCATCAGCCTACTTCCTCGTGGGGAAGTATTCAGCGTGGAAACAGACCTTCGCAGACATCTGTGAACGGCAGTATGGTAAGAATCGATGAATCCGTGGTCGCTTCGGACCGACAAAGGGCCCAGGACCAGATGGAGATGTTATATGCTGCAGTTATGGAGCACGATGCCCAAAAGGCCTCTGGGCTCGATGTCTCTGTTCGAGATCGAGACTCCCAGAGCCAATCCCCGGACAGTCAATATACCAATCCTTTCACCGATCGGCACGCCTCATATGCCACGGAGCAGCCGCCCATGCCGCCTCTGAAGTCTCCCAAGTCCCCAAGATTTTCAAACGGCTCTCGCTTGTCCAAGCTGTTTAACTCAAATACTCGAGCGAACCCCGACAGTGGCAAGCTGAAATCCCCAAAATTTCCTCTTCGGAAGCTGGGAATATCATCGCCGGTGGCCTCTCCTGACCCACGAACCCCTCAAACCTATACTAACGAGGCGCCGCCTTTGTCCCCGCGGTTTTATAATCCTGGACCGCCGCCAATGGCTCCCCGAGCACCTCCGGCCTCGGCCATCGGACATGGCATGCCCCCTTCAGGTCGTGCCCGGCCGCCAGCTCCACTGAACCTCACTACTGCATCCCCCCCATGCACAGTCTTCGCAGAATTCGCTTCCTTTCCGTGAAGCTTATCCCCTGCAGAGTGCCCCAGCTACCAAGACGACAATCCTGGAGCGCCCTACCAAGAACCGCACTGGGCCAATCACAGGAGTTCCGACTCCATACAGTGCCTACATGCCTTTCACCCCTGTCACCCCATTCACACCAGGCCGGACTGTTAACAAGCGACAACGGAAACGCGAGGAGAAAGAAAATGGACTTCGAGCCTTGCATGAAGACGACTTGGTCAAGGACGATACTGACATGTGGTGAAACGCACTTCTATTGTCGTAATTCTATTGTACTTAATCTAGTTTTTCTCATCGGTGCCGGTTCTTTGGCGCAAGTGTGGTAGGGGGTATCTAATTTGTAAACGCCATGGCGGCGATAAATATCAATCAAACTTTGGCGTGCAAGTCACGGTTCAAGAGCTTGGAAATTTGCTAGAATACCTCGACTCTTTGGCTGTCATTCCTTCAAATTCATTCATGATTTTGTCCGGCCTAAGAGGTTACTATCTCCAGGGCTTTCAATATATATTTCTTTAGTCTTATGTTCCTTATCCAGGAGTCCTGCCCCAGAATAGTTCTATTTATTCATCGTCTTCAAGTGCTCGGTGCCCTGGATAATAGCATCGGCGTAGTCCGCCCGACTTCCTGCTCTTTCAAGAGCCAAAAGTGCCCGAATAGTGCATCCTCGAGGAGATGAGATACTTTCCCTCAGAGCAGCAGGGTGGATTCCAGACTCAAGCGCCGCCGAGAGACCTCTGATTCCCTTCAATACAAGCTCCATAGCATCCGGCCGCTTAAGTCCCTCCGCAACGCATCCATCCAGAATTCCCTCAATGGGAATAGTCAGAGTCGCCAAAGCCGCCCCGACCAAAACAGATCCGAGATCCATTTGACTCGGAGGCAAATACTTGATCGCACCGACCTTGGTGAACATCCAATCCACGATCTCGGTCATCTGTGCGGGAATAGGCTCCTCGGGAGTCTCGATAATAGTCATAGACTCGCCGAATTGTGCACCCATATTAGGGATAACCTTGACGACGACTGGATCCGTGAAGGATCCGGATGTGCCTTCGCGAACCATTCGGGTCAGGTCCTGAGGTGTTTGCCCCGCCAACAGGCTGATCACCAATTTCCCGGCCAGCGCTTCACGGACACCCTTCGAGCCGAGAACGTCTTCGGCCATGAAGGGCTTGAAACCTAGGACAATTACATCTGCTCGTTTCATGATCTCTATCGGCACTGCTTGAGACGATGTGACTTCAACGTGGGGCTGTTGCTCTGCTGGCAAAGATGCCTTCAAGCGCTCCGCGGACGAAGTCGTCTTTGTGCAGGCGATGAAGCGAGATATGGGGCGATCATTAGATGACTCGGTGCTCGAGTTGGATTGAGAGAATGCGGCATTGAGAACTCCATGGAGAATGGCGCCTCCCATGTTACCTATCTCGCATTGTGAGTCAAATTGAACGCAATGCGGGGTTGATTTTACTTACCGCATCCAATAAATGCTGCTGTCTGCTCTGGTGAAGTCATTTTTGATGATTGGTGGGAGAAGAAGAGTCTAATTGAAGTTGAATTTGAGATATTGGAATCTGGATAATGACGCTGAATTGGAGAAGTTCGGTACTTATAATTGTCGGATGGGGTCTCCGAGATGTTCGGTGTATCAAGCCGAACGGAGATAGTCAAATTAGACTCATAGTATGTCCAATTTCAGGGGTTAAAAGAGGTATGCTGGTATTTCTGACACTCAATTAAGTTCTAATTCGGTTTGATAATCCTTAGCGTGATCTGCCAATTCCAAACTAAGCTCGCCCACGGAGACTTTGAGAACGGCAGTCTCGGTATTCTCGCCCGACTCCTGTTTCATCCCCGCCCCACACAACTACGAAACGATTGTCATGCTCGAATCGTGTATAGCATGTAAACCTGACCTTGAGCTATCGCACTAAGCTCGCACTAAGCTCGAGTCCCAAAGGATAATTTTATAAACAACAAAATTTGGACCAGGCATTTAGTGAAATGTCATTCGTAGATGAAGATAAAACTATCAGTTTTCTATGCTAAGAAGTTCAGGGCAAATTGACATGAATGAGCTCAAATATGATGTCGCTAGGCTGTCTATCGAAAGTCGAATATCCAAGGTCCGTTATGAGGAAGAATATTCCAGCAACGCCGCCAAACGAGATTGCTTGGTTGAAGCTTTCTTCGCAAACAGGCCAGTGGCGTTGGTGGAGCCTGGAACACGCTCCCTCCCCACCCCTGAACATTGCGTTAGAAGCAGAGGCCCAGATAGTTTCCTGGTGGAAATAGTCCTCGTATTGGTAGAATAGGCGACATTCCGCAGCTTCATACTTGAACTGGAGCGGCAGACGATCATTCTTGGGGCCGAACTGATTGTACTTTCACAGGGAGCTCCGAAACACTGCAGGACATTTCACTTAAAATTGGAGGAATGACTTGTCTGTAGTTTCATTTAGGTACCCATTTATCTTTACAACCAAATTCTCAGAATCCAAGTAAATTACATGCATAAAGTCCACTCTTCTAGAGCAAAACCCTGAAGGAGTTGTCCAAGCTTCTGTCCAGCCGCAGAAAGTCTGCCACTCGTCCTAGATGATCGATACCCCAAAATCCCTCCACCTCCCCCTCGGGATTAATACACTCGAACCAAGGAAGACCAAACGCCCCAGCTTTGAAAACGGATTCTGTGTTTCTGTTCAAGATTGCTTTCGTCTGGTCATTGAACTATTAATATATCACAAGGATTAGCATTCTTATCAATGCATTATGAAGATTATAAACCGAGATATTGCAAAAGTTTAACCCACCATATCAGACAATAGACTCTCCTCCATTTCACTCTGGAAGACAGGCTGAAATTCCTCCTGGTCAATGATCTTGGTCTTCCCTTCCCCCCAAAAGATCGTGAAGAGTTTTTCCGTAATAGCGACAAGATTTTCAGGGGTATGCGCCGCAACGCCTGCAAGTGCTGCTTGGAGATTCCCTGTTGAAGCAGGAAAGCCTTCGGGGATTGGCACGCTCATCGGCACCCCGAATCGATGCGACCAATACAGGCGCTCTTTGTTTATCCATTGGAGCTTGTCTGTAGGCGTATGTGTTATTTCTTAAATTTCATCAAAATACCATTTCACTTGGACATACTTCTCACGGCGATCGGAGGTGGGTTCTGGCACCTCTGGAATAGATCCCGGAGAAGAACGGGCACGTAGTCAATTTGGCAGTTCAAAAAAACAGGTGAGTTCTAGCAGATGAGCGAATTAATGACATTATTTTCCTTCTTTATGGCAGGGGCCCTTTTTGAAATCTCACCTTGAGAACGTGGAAAGCAATGTAGCTGAATGGGCTTCCAATGTCAAAGAACAGGGTGATTTTAGGAGCAACCATATTTGCGATTATTTGGATTGATCAAACTTATTCTGAGACTTTCTGTAGGGAATACACGCTGGTCTTATTATATGTTTCATTGCGATTTTTAGATTATTCATATGGATTTCTTGAGTCACGATGTTCGTTACCCCAACGCGTTGTACTCGGTAGAAGTGAGAACACCCGGAAACTCTTGGCGGGATCCGTCAATTTGTTGAGCAAGGGGCGCCTACGGAAATTCCCAACCAATTATGGAGTTAGCCATGGATTAGTTTACATCCTCAGTAGGTTCAATATTGATGAATTTGAAGTTTTGAATGTCGTACTATCAAAATATCGAGTCGAACTCCGAGTCCAATACTAATAGTACTACTAGTACCACACAACCTTGGCATGGATGATATATTTTTAAGGTTGATGTAGTGCGTTAGGCCGGAGTACTACTACTACTAGTACTACTAGTACTGCCCAGGGCTGGCACTGGCACTGGCATAAGTTCAAAAAGCCGGATCATGACAGATGCCCACCCAGGTGTTGTACTACTAGTATCTAATTTGCATTCAGGACTCAGGGATATTGGGAAGGAGATTTGAAAGAGAGAATCACGAAAATTCTTCAATATCTATAAGCGATTTCTGATCTATGTGTCTGCTGTCTCAAATTTACTCAAACCCCTCAGCATTTTCCCCTTCGAAAAGAACAACCACGGAACGGGCAATAGAGCAACGGAAATAAAACCAAGAAGGCTCGAAGCCCATCCAATGCCTAGCTTGGTATACACTTTCATGAATAAGTCAGCTAATAATTCACGCGGAGTACTAGTAACTCTAGAGTACTTACTCTGAATTGTAAAAAGAGGAAATGCGGCCGCAAGACCATAGCGAGCTAAACTGTTCGCGCTCATGGCACTGGCAACAGTTAAGCCATGGTAGGTATCGACGATATACTGCGTGGTGCTCACGAAGACACACAGGTTCCCCCATGCAAATACCATAACGGCAACCACTGGGCTGGCCCAAGATATGTCTGTCCGAGAGGTCCACCCGAACCAGAATAACCCGATGGGGAGACCAATACTCCCAATCATGGCAGGATAGAGGCGATGTTCTGGAGGGATATTGCGTCCAGGAAATTTGGATGCTTGGGGGCGGTACAGAAGTATGTCGGAGAGAGTAGTACGGTGAGTGCCCCAAGCAGACAGCCGACTACTATAGAGAGAAACACAAGACCAGAGTCTTCGATCCCGAAGCCATATACCCCTTGGAAAACAAGCGGAAAGGCGGCGAAGAATGAGAAGAGTGTGGCAAATTCACAAGCAACATAGAGGCAGATGAACGCGACGATAGGCTCACTGAGTAGCATTTGAATCGGACGAAGAAGGGCAATTGTCACAAATAGTCGAAGTTTAGATGCCAGGGGCGGGGATGCGGGTAATGGTCGGCCAAGTTCTTTAGCTATTCGACGCTTGATAACCGGATGGAAAGTTTCTTTTGCAAAGATACTTGTGAAAATCGTGAAAATTCCAAAGAAGATCATTGTCCATTGCGTCCACCTCCAGCCCTTGCGATTGACAATAAAGCTGCCGATAACCGGTCTGCCAAGAAAATCAGCAAGAAATCGGGTAATTGATAAAACTCTTGCACTCACCCGAGACCAGGACCTAAAAATGGTGTCAGAATGAAAATTGTGGATGGAAGCGCCCGTTTCACCGGCTTGAATGTTTCGTTGATCGTCCCACCAGCGATAGCTAGCGACGGCGCGAAGCAAAAACCCGCTAGAAAACGTAGAACGCAAAGTCCCGCAAAAGTATGACTGAAACCAGCCCCCAAAGTGAATAGGCTCCCAAGCACGACAGTTCCTATATACACGGGATATCTCCCGACTGTTTCAGAAAGAGGTCCACCAACAACAGGGCCGAGTCCCAATGCAAAAACATAAAGGGACAAAGGTAATATGGCGACTGTACTGCCCACTCCAAACTCTTTTATAAACTGAGTATGGGCTGGAGATAGAATTGAAACTCCGACAGAGCTATGAGTTAAATTAGCTGATTTCATCGAGCTGTGACATCGCCTTGACTTTCTCACGTTGTGAACGCAGCAGATGCCATCATCAAAACCTGGAGAACTTTTGATTTCGTCGTCCAGTTGTATGGATTCCGTGGATCATCCTCCCAATCTTCCTTTTGGTCTGCTGACTCGATTTTCACGTCGTCTCCAGTCTCAACATCTGGAGTCTCGGTGCATGGCGACGTATTCCCCGTCTCACTCTCCCGATCCGGAGATTGTGAACTTTCGAGTGTGACCGCCATAGTTAGGATACTTTTGAAATTTCGACTTGCATCTATACTTGGCTGTGCGTGTAACAGAACCCAGATGTCGAGTAAGGCTTTTCGTAACTTGTTCGCATGAAATATGGCGAGGAATCGTTTTATCTCCTTGGCGCTCGCAACTCTCGCGTTCTGCTCTACGCCGAGCTGATAAATCATCTACAGTTGCATTTACTAAATCGCTTTGTGGAAATCGCCATCATTGGACATTTTGACCGCTTTCGCATTTATTTCTACTAAATGGCTGGCGGTTCGGTAACCATGACTTGCTGCGAATATACGATTACTAAACAAAAATCATTTCCCTGGCGGGGGAGAACGCAAGGGCCGCGGTTGATACTGAACTCAGGAATTAACGATTATTCAACAATACTTGAATTTCCGATATGATCATCACGTTGAGAATTGAAAAAGAAAAGTGTTGAGTTGATACAGTAATTAAGAGTCAAAGACAAGCTGTCCTAGCCGACCCTTGGATTATACTATTCCCCATGCGACTGAATCAAACAAAAAGGTTCCACACGAAAATTCAGGTAGAGGCTGCTTTAAAATTCCCTGCAACATGTCAGGCATTCTGGACAAGTCCTGCAACAGAGGGCAACTGCTCACGTCGACGCAAGTTTTGGCTCCACTCCACCCTAACACCATGGCTCGGCTGTCCATACAGAGAGCATTTTCCAGCGCTCTTCTATTTTCCGGGGATAAATAGTGATCATTAAGATCAAGAATCGCGATAATTCCATCGTCTTGTATTCCAACCTCACGTTTTATCTCAACTGCTGGGCTGAATTGTCCACTATACAGCTCGACGCATTTCCCGTTATCCCAAAAGTCATCTTCATCTTGGTCATACCAAGAACCGCCAAAAAGACGAAGCAGATGACAAAAATTGTCCTCGAAGTCCTGATCCTGATATCGCTCGGAAGATTCAAAGCGATCTATTTGCAAATGTCGTAGCTCCACGGGCCCAGCTTGACTGTCCATATACCCCCCGAAGATGGGTAACAGGAAGCTATACCGGTACTCAAGCTGTATCGAGATGTTGGCATAGAACGGTTATGCTTTGTTGCTTGCAAGTCGGTTCTCGGAGATAGCGATACGTTCGCTGGATCACTTTGTTGGCTTGTGGACAAGCTGAAGGGTTCTTCTCCCATGGTAGAACTCCATCGGGGAAAAGTACAAATGGGACAAATAAACAGGCGACGATGAAAATGCCTATCAAAAAAGGTGTAAACTGTGTTGAGTGCGAATGTTTTGTCGCAATCTTCTTGGCACGGCGACTCGGACGTTTGCTGATGTCTGTCATGGTGATATTGAATTAAGAAAACAAAAGGTTGTCCTGAAAGCCCTGTGGAATGATCAACGGTAGACCTTTTAAGTTGTTCCTATGGCGCAAATGACTCACTTGTCAGGATATAGGTGTTGTGTTAACTACTATAGAGGACAGCCTGGCTCATCGGAGGAGTTGACGCTTCGTTTTAGCCTCAACCGTTCATGGCTCATATGTCATAAGCAGTTACAGCACAATGCTAAATACCAGATGCCAGATCGAAACAGAGTAAGTACTTCGAAGATGGTGCATGCCAATCCTAGAGGAGTGGATGAAGATGTTGTGGAGGAAGACAAGGTTGGATGCCTTTGCTGTATCGCCCGCATTTTCACGGACCGGGGTTAAAGATGACCAACATCATGATGCAGCGAGAATGAACATTAAACAACTAAACACCTTGGATTGAAGCACACAATAGATCCCATAGTACAGACCCACTGCGGCTGAATGGGGATAGACTCCCATTCCCGGTGGATTCACTTTTGACTTTTGACTTTTTGACACGCACCTTGAAACGGCCTGATTCGATCGCACTTGGCTACTTCAACCCCTCCTTGACAACCTCCACCCACTAATACTCGTAGTTGGCTGCAGAGATCATCCCTCCGCGCCGATTTCTATTGGCAGCGACGATCCATCAGGCGCTTTGGTCGTTTCGATCATGCAAGCTGGGAAACCGCCCATCCACACAAAACCTCGAGATGGACGGGTGACATAAAAGGTCGCCTTCCCCAAGTGGATCTGAGGACCCATCTATCGAGCCTCGTCGGTGTGAAAGATGACTCTGTGGTCTTCTCACAATGAAGCGTAAAACCCCCTCTCTTCCCGCAATGACCGACCGCGGGGTTTCAACGCCTCTCCACTGATCCCGATCGCTTCGCCATGGGAGACGTCCAACCCGGCCAGGGCTATCAGCTTGGAGTTGATGTCGGCGGGACATTCACAGATGTATACGTCTTCACACCACACGGCCAGACAGTTCGCGCAAAGGTCCCGACTACGATCCCTGACCAAAGTATCGGTATTAAGAACGGTATCGCGAAAGCGCGTCTGCTTCTCAAAGAGCAGTTCGGGTGGTCGGGGACATTCCAGTTCATTCATCACGGAACCACAACGGCCACCAATGCCGTTCTCGAAGGAAAAGGTGCCCGCACCGCGTTAGTGACGACTGCGGGCCACAAAGATATTCTTGCGCTTCGTCGGTCTCAAATCCCCGGCGGGTTAGGCGCGTGGCTGCATTGGAACCCGCCAGATCCCATTGTGCCACTCGAACGCGTTGTTCAGTGCAAGGAGCGAATGTCGGTCCAGGGTGAGCCGGTATCTGCAGTGGATGTGGATGATTTACGCGTTGGATTGCGGGAGTTGGCTAAGCAAAAACCGGAGGCATTGGCCATTTCACTTTTGAACTCCCACAGCAATGACAAACATGAACGCGAAGTTAAAGAAATTGTCCGTGAAGAATTTGGCTCCGATTTCGCGGTTATATGCTCAGCTGATGTCCTGCGCGAGGTTGGTGAGTATGAGCGCACAGTCACGACCTGCACGAATACCCTCGTCAAGCCGGTTGTTCAAACATACCTTCAGAATCTGTCCCTGGCTCTCGCCAAAGAGAGTGAGACTATTCGGGTTCTGAAAAGCGATGGCGGCCTCACCAGCCTCGCGCTTGCTTCTGAGCTTCCAGTGAACATTTTGATGTCTGGTCCTGCAGGAGGTGTTAAGGGGGTCGCAGATGTTGTGGCTCGAAGTACGCCTTACAAAAATTTAATCACCCTTGACATGGGAGGAACTTCAACGGACTGTGCCTTGATTTATAATGGTCAGCCTCAGATTCGCAGAGAAACCGTGGTCGAGAACCTGTCTGTGCGGTCACCGGCCGTGGACATCAAGACTGTCGGCGCCGGCGGAGGCTCAATCACCACCTACATGGAATTGACAGAGACTTTACGCGTCGGACCCGAAAGTGCTGGCGCTGTGCCAGGCCCCGCATGTTATGAAAAGGGTGGGAAGCAGGCGACCGTGACAGATGCAAACCTGGTACTGGGATATCTGCCAAAGAACCTCCTCGGTGGTGATTTTGCCTTGAACGTGGATGCATCTCTGGCCGCAGTCGCTGAAATTGCGTCTCAAATGAAGCTTCCGGTTACTCAGACAGCCGAAGATATCATCACAATCATCAATGAGACCATGTATGGAGCTCTGCGTCTTGTGTCCGTGGAACAGGGCTACGATCCCCGCGATTTCGCCCTGGTTGCCTTCGGAGGTGCCGGTCCGCTGCATGCTAATGCAGTAGGTGAGCTTTTGGGGGCATGGCCAGTTATCATCCCCCCCTCTCCCGGTATTCTTTGTGCACAGGGCGATGTAACGACGAAGCTCAGGCATGAACAGTCTACAACATTTATCCGTTTGTTATCTGATACAACTGCATCGGAAATCTTTAACCAGTATGATAGCCTAGAGAATCAATGCCGTGAGACCCTGCAAAAGTCATCAGGTGAACATTGGCCGGTAACTTGGAAATCCGCATATCAAGCAGACCTTCGATACAAAGGACAAGCGTTGACTATCACCGTTGACTTGACTGCCGATGATTTGACTCTGGATACACAGGGATGGTGTGCGGTCCTCCGGGAAAGATTTGACCAACAGCACCAGCAACTATTCACCTATACACTGCCGGACTTTGAGCTCGAGCTCATGCGACTCGGGGTAATTCTCGAAGACGCATCGCCCAGTATTGACATCCCTCAAGTCGAGAAAGCGGCAGCTCCAGAGCCTCCTGCCAATGCCAAAATTGGTGAACAAACAATCATTGTGCAGGGCAAGGAACAACTTGCCACACTTTGGGATCGCCAGAAGATCTCCAAACAGGGAATCAGGGTCACAGGACCATGTATAGTCTCTGAGATGGACAGTAACACCCTTATTCTCCCAGGGTACTTTGGTGAGATTGACGGTATTGGAAATATCTTGATCAGTCCCCAAGACAAAAGGCCAGTCGACGCTACTCAGCATACCGCGGAATCGGCAAATGAACTTGTCAAGAGCACTCCTTTGATTCCGACCTTAATATCATCCACACTGGCCTCTATTAGAAGCGAGATGGACCAGATGATGCTGCGATGCAGCATGTCCCTGCGATCAGAGAACAACAAGACGAATTCAACGTGATCACCAATGCCAAGGGTAAAATGCTTGTCGGTCAATTCGGCAGTTTTATCACCGAGTTCCTGAAAGTGTGGCACGGCACAATCGAGGAAGGAGATATTTTTATCACAAACGATACGTATCAGGTACAAGGTGCCATCAGCCATCTGAACGACATCATTGTATTTCTGCCCATTTTCCATGAGCACCGTCTGATCGGATATGCCTCGCAGTTTGGCCACCTGACTGACGTGGGAGGCATCGTTCCGGGCAGCATGTCGATCAACGCAACCTCCGTGTTCGACGATGGTGTGCAGATTCCTTGTATCAAGCTCTATTCCAAGGGCGTGATGAATGCAGACATTGTTCAACTTCTATGTCGGAACTCTAGGCAGCCAGCATGGTATCGTTCTGATCTGACTGCTATCATTGCAGCATGTTCGATGGCTGCGACACGAGTGCGTGAACTAGTGACAAGATTTGGTCAGGAGGTATACCTAGCTTCATGTGATGAGCTGCTGTACAGAAATCGCACTGGACTGGCCAAAATCGTGGAGCGACAGTTCAACGACAAGAAAAGCACATTTACAGACTTTGTGGACGATGATGGTCACGGTGTTGGGCCGTGGGCGCTTACTTGTTCGATGAAGAGGATCGATGGCAACCGACTGCTCTTCGATTGGAGTGGCACTTCTCCCCAAAGCCAGCACAGCATCAACTTCTACCTCTCAGAAACCATGTTTAAGATGTTTATTGGGTATTATCTGATAGCAGCCGCAGCACCCGGTACGGTCATCAACGATGGCTTCCATGAACTGATTGATGTTAAAATCCCCGAAGGAACGGTACTCAAGCCCGTTCGCCCAGCACCCATATCATGCCGAACCCATTTGATGGGCCGTACACTCGACATTGTTCAAGCTCTGATCGGTCAAAAGAACGACGCTTATCAAGCTGCCGCTGGGTTCAGTGACTCGCCTCACTTCTTTTATTCCGGATTCAAGCCAAACGGCGAATGGTACCAGCTCTATCAAATCGGCTTTGGAGGAGTTCCTGCCCGCCAAGCTGGCGATGGGCCCGACTGCCACTGTCTCTTCCCGGCCATCAAATCTATTCCCACAGAGAGCATTGAATTGAATTACCCATTGCGCATCGAGGCCAACGAAAGCGTTGCGGATAGCGGTGGTCCTGGATATTTCCGCGGTGGTAATGCCCAGCGTACGCTCTATCGGTTCCTCGCGCGAGGCGAGTTCAGTCTACATGACGATCGATGGTTTACGAAGCCCTGGGGTTTGAAAGGGGGCAAACCCGGTCGACGATCTAGCAAGGTGCTATACCGATACTCTCGATCTGAGATGAACCCTCCGACGGAAATTCTGCCATCCAAATGTGACCATATTCGAGTCGATCCGGGAGATCTCCTTGAATGGATCACCTGGGGAGGTGGCGGACTTGGGGATCCATTGACCCGTCCTGTTAACAAGGTAGCTCTAGAGGTTCATCGAAAGCTTGTCACGATCGAGGGGGCTCGTCGGGGATATGGCGTGGTCGTGAAGGACGATTTCACGGTGGAACAGGAGGAGACAGCGGCACTGCGCGCGCAGATGAAGATGGAGCAGACCAAGCTAGTACCGTTATCATCGATCTATGATCGTGGTGGTGACATTGAGACACTACGTCAGTCATGTTTAGAGGAGACCGGTTTAGAAGCTCCGGTACCACAGTGGGAGACGGAGTTGTATGGCCCTCATTCCGGGTTGGAGTATGTGCAGAAGTGGTATGCGGAGATGAAGGTGGCAAAGGGTTGGAGGGTGGAGTAGATGAGCCTATCTGGTATATTTGTTGACTTCATTTACTTTATTGGTTGCTGTTCCACCAAGTTGTGTATCAAAGGAGTGTATGGAGTGAAGTATGTAGTTGGCCTTCCGCATTGGGAATGCCGCATTGGGCTGCAGCTGTCAAAGAAAGTAAATACTCCCGGATACTCAACTGCATCCATCATATACTCACTCATCAACCATCACTCAATCACTCACTCACTTACTCACTCACTCTACCTCTACCTCTACATCTTATCTACTCTACCACGTCCAAGCCCTGTCACCTGGTCCACCACCTTTTGTAGGATCATTGTCGATCGCCCCGCGGTCCCCGCTCTGCACGGCCTGTCGTCATCACCAGCCAATTTCTGGCCCTACGACGCACCCTCTGCTCTGCTCCATTTCGAGCTGCTCCACGTCCCTTTTGCCCCGATTCACTTGGCACGGACAACGTGATCCCACCCTCAAACACACCGACCTATCATCTGGTGAGTTCCACTTCTACCTTGGCGACTGCGCGGCCGGTGGCGGCCCAGAACTCTCGCGGGGCGTCGAGAGAAACTGATCACTGATAACAGTCTGTTTCATTTAGTAAAATAGAAAACCGCCCCTCCATCCTCGCTTCTTAACTCCGATTCTCTCTTTCTCACCCACTTGGTTTCTTCTAAACCTTCTCCCTTCTGCCCTTCTCAGGCATTTCGCTCATTCTACCCACTCCCGACCTCCACATGCCTCTCACCATCCTCTCTCGGTCGCAGCTCCGAGATGTGCTACACTCTCTCACTCGTGACGAGATCACCGAGTTGCAACGAAATCTATCCGAGGCCTTACGCGAATACTCGACCGGTGCCCAAGATAAAGGTTGCTCGGCGACCTATCAGCCTCAGCGAACGGCCATTACTCGACAGAATGGCTGTACCACCTTGTTCATGCCCGCCAGCACGGGCCAGACCATCGGAATCAAGATGATCTCACTGCAGGACGGCTCCGCCGCCGGTTGTGCTGTGGAGCGTGCTGCCTTAGACATTGCTGATGGTGATTCGACATCTTCCCGCTCGCGGACTGGTTCCGTGCGCAACTCGGTCGCCTCGCTCTCCTCCGACTTGAGTGATCTCTCCGTCGATTCCTCCCAGGAAGATAGCAACTCCGTCAGTCCAACACTGACAACCACAACCTCCGGAAGTGGGGGTGACAGCGCCGATAGCTCGACACTTCTCTCTGGATGTGTGAACCAACAACCGGTAGTCGACAACAATGTCTCAGATACGATGGGCGCTTGGCCTGGAGCAGGCACCCGTGACACCTCCCCGAAGGGCAGTTTGACACTTCTAGACAGCGAGAGTCTACCCTTCGCCCTGATAAACGCACACGAACTCACAGCCTTCCGCACCGCCCTCGCCTCTTTGATGATCTTCAACAGGCGTAAGAAGGTCCGTACCATCCTGGTATTCGGCGCCGGAACCCAAGCATACTGGCACATTCGACTGGCGTTGAGTCTACGCGGCGATGAGATCCGCCGCGTGTACATCGTCAATCGCTCCTTCGAGCGAGCGGCCAATCTCCTCCGTGACATCTACCTTCCCGAAAACACGAAGTGGCGCGGCGATACCAAATTCTCCGCCATGAGCACTGACTTCGGCGAATACAACCGAATTATCAAAGAGCATGTTCGCAAGGCGGACGTCATCTTCTGCTGCACCCCTTCGGTCGAGCCCCTCTTCCCTGCTGAGTTCCTCACATCCCGCGAAGGTCGGCAAAAGGGTCGTCTGATTAGTGCAGTTGGTTCGTACAAGGCACACATGGCCGAAGTACATCCCGATATCCTACGCGATGAGGTAAACGTGTCACCGCCTCATCGTCATTTCCACAAACATACCCGTCGCAGCGGCGTGGTGGTTGTTGACAGTCTCGACGCGGCCATCAAAGAAGCAGGCGAGATCGTACAGGCGGGAATCAAACCGAAGCAAATGGTCGAGCTCGGCGAGCTTCTCATGGTCCGACACGCCACGCAGGAGGCAGCCGATGAACAGAAGAGTTTGCGAGAGTGGGTGGAGCGCGGCAATGTTATTTACAAGAGCGTTGGGTTGGGCCTGATGGATCTAGTGACGGGTGGTGATCTGGTTCGTCTGGCGCGAGAGCGAAAGTTGGGGACGACGGTGGAAGACTTTTAGTCTTTTCATCTTGCTTGCATTTTGTAACATACCCTCTTGTTGTTTCTTGAATGTGCATTATCTGGAAGAATAGGAAGCATAATGACCGAGTCGACGCGCTCGCGCTGTACAGCCCATCTCCAAGGCTCTGTGTTACTAGTATTGGTAAATTGACACTGGGGGTTTTCTTCTATTTGTTTTGCTTGTGAATAGTAAATAATGTTTACAACGAATTGATCGACTGGCGAGACCACAGAAATAAGTTCAATTCAATCCAAGCCCTCTATCCAGCTCTGGTGATTACTACTACTAGTATTTACACCATCCTTAATCAAAGTCTCAAGAAGAAATCGATATAGATTTTTCTACTATACTCCTTATAATCAGCATAGAGACGGCCCAGGATCGAGCAGAGGTTCAAAAAAGGAAAGCAATTAAAGCTTCCCCGGCCCTTTTACTTGCATCCCTCCCTACCTATTTCTCAAATCATTCAAGTACTAAAGGCTTTCGGATTAGCACTAGATAGTATGTATACTAATGGAGATTAGATCACCTTAACCTACCATCATATACTATGCGAGCATCTACTCGTGCTTGCGGGGCCTTCCCCGCATCGAACTCGGTGATTCTCGGCCCTATCGTCAAATATCAACACCCATAAACATCAATACAACACCGTCCCATGAATACCCCGATAAATCCAACCGCATAAAAGTTCACCACTAGCACCACCAAAACCACCACAATGACCATCCCAACCCCATCAATCCTAACAACCCTAACCCGCCGCAAAGCAGGAACAATAGCCCAAATAACAATCTCCCGACCCAACAAACTAAACGCCCTAAACAGCCCCCTCCTCGAGTCCCTCCCGACAACCATCAAAAAACTAAGCAAAGAGACAACCGACCTCCTAGCCATAATCCTAACCGGCGCCGGACCCAAATCCTTTGTCGGCGGCGCCGACATCGCCGAAATGGCTCGGCTCGACTCACCACTCGCGGCACGGCAGTTCATTACGAAAGTGCACAGGGCTTGTGCAAGTGTGCGCGATGCCCCGGTTCCGGTTATTGGGAGGATTAATGGATTTGCGCTTGGTGCGGGGTGTGAACTTGCTGCTGCTTGTGATTTGAGGGTTGCGGGGAGGAATGCGGTTTTTGGGATGCCGGAGGTATGTACTCGGATGTGGCCGTAAGGTCACGGTGTTTGGCATATTGTATTACCGTGTTACTGGTGCTCGTCGTATTCCCCTTCTTCAAGTTTTTTCTCTTCGATTGTTGTGTTTCGCTAACGTAGTCCCATGTTATCTATGTGTAACTAGGTTCGAGTCGGGATTCCCAGTGTAGTTGAAGCCGCGCTTCTTCCTAATTTGATTGGATGGGGCCGAACGAGGCAACTCCTCCTGCTCGGGGAGAATATTGATGCAGACGAGGCGTTCCGTTGGGGTCTGGTTGAGAAGGTTGTTGAGCAGGATGCTCTCGATGAGGCTGTTGAAGGATGGTTGGCCCAGTTGGAGAAGAATGGGCCTATGGCGGTGCGCAAACAGAAGGCGCTCATGCGGACTTGGGAGAATGTTTCTCTGGACCAGGGCATTCAGGCTGGTGTGACTGCGTTTGAGGAGTCGTTTGTGGCTACGGATGGTGGGATTACTGAGCCGGCTAGGATGATGGGTGCTTTTTTCCAGGGCCAGGGGAAGAAGGGAGGTTCTTCTTGAAATAAATGAGTCTTCGTGAAATGGCCTAGTGTTTACCAGGAATGCAGAAGTGAATAGTTATGTCATGTGTCATCAATTAATGATTACTGAAACGAAACGACTTCGTCTCTTTATACTTCTGGAGTCATAAACCGATCCATCTAACAAAGTCCGATTTTCCGTGTCCAAGAGACCCTTATTAGCGTACACGTCCTTCACAGTATCCCTTCTCTGTAATGTACATGCGATTGCAGTTTAGCTGTTTGTTCACAGCTTCATCTTCAGCAGGTTGCCAATCATCTCGCGACCGGTGATGCGGGTAGTCGCCCACAGGGTCGGGAAGTCCAGGGTGCTGGAGAAAGTATCGGCGTAGCCGAAGAAAAGCATAGGGGGGGATCCAGCCACGGGCATACTCGAGGGCGAAGCAGGACGCGTCCATCTTGTACTGCTTGACCTCGCCACGGCGCAGGTGGTGCACGGAGCCGGCGGGGTAGACCTCGGGCTCGTACTCGCCGGGCACGTAGGCCAGCTGGGTACCGGACAGGATGTTGAAGTAATCGTCGGCAGTGTGACGACCGGTGTGGCCCTCGGTTCCGATGGCGGTTCCGAAGATAATCAGGTACTCGGTGATACCTAGAAAAGAGAAGAGAAAAGGCATTAGCTATGTTCCGGGGTAGATTTTAGGTCCGGGGGAAGTGGCAATTCGTCCTCGTCTGCCATTGGCATGGAAGGAAGGGGGAGAATGCGACTTGAATGGGTGGATATGGACATACTGGCGTGGATAATGTACATAGCACCCATGGCACCGCCGGCGTTGTTGAACACCCACTCCTCATGCTGGTTCAGGTGGGTGGATCCGACCTTCTCCTCGAGCTCGGCAACAATGTAGCTGACGATGGAGCGGGTGTCCTCGCCGTGGGCCTTGATGGCGCGCTGGGAGAGTTCGTGCAGATGCTCATGGTCGAAGATGTAGAATTGGTTCAGGCGCGCGTCGAGGAAGGTGTAGACGGCAGAGAAGAGAGCCAGGAAGACGGCGATGATGCTGAGAGTGCGGAAGGAGAAGCAGCTGCAGCAGCCGGAAGACTTCTTGCCAGCATTGCTGGATGATTTGGAAGGCATGGCGGTGGTGTGATTAGGAGAGGGAGGGGGGAGGTGAAGTGGTGAAGTTGGAAGGAGAATGAAATTTAAGTGAAATGGCGATCCGCGATGGACATTGCGGACTGCGGGACGGGACCCGCGGGATCGGAGACCCCCCCCTGGCCTAACTGGCCCCGTACCTTACACCAAAACAAAACAACTACAAATAATTGGCAGATCATACTACAATTGATTTGCTGTGAATTAGTTAATTCAGATGACGTACCAACAGTCTTCATGCATGTCGAATTCCCATTCATTCCTCCGTAAAATGGGCCATCTTAGGTCGATGGAAGTACTCATCTCTCTGCAGAAACCCACACGCCATGTCGGATGGCCGCAATCCGAATCGCCGGCCCGCTGATTGGCTTGAACCACAGCTCTATACGAGTACACAGGAACGCGAGCCCGAGATCTGCTATGGTGAAGTTATTGTCAGCATTGGAATACTTTGCCTGGTAAGGGTGACACAAAAGTTAAAAATTCCCGATCTTTCTTCTTCCCAACTCCAATCATCGCAATTATCGCAATTATCGCGGTGTGACCTCGGGAGACATCTCAGTCAGATGGCTCCTTGGGTATTGCCGGGCGTTTTAGATAATTCAGGAGAGGATTTCTCCAGTCGGCACGATGTAAAAGATACATGCTCAGTAAATACTGATAAAAATATACTATACGTTCATTATTTCCACTGTGTGTGAGAAGGCATTGATCTATACCTCCTTATTTCTCCAGACGAAGATATAACAGTCCAATTGTTGCGCATCGGGAGCTTCCTTTGCCTCATAGACGCGATGAGATCTGCGCTGATACTACAGTATTTGCTCACTGCCATTAGTTTCACTCATGCCCTAGGCCAGCGACCATCTGAGCTCCGTATCCAAACTTCCAGTGGGACGGTACATGGTATCTACAATGACACTGCGACTACCGTCAGAGGCTTCCTCGGAATTCCATATGCGGAACCCCCGATGAATGAACTACGATTTGCACCACCACGAGAAAAATCACCCTCCTCTTCCCCAATCGATGCCTCGTCATTCAGCAGTCCTTGTCCGCAGACATGGAGTTGGTCGAACAAGTCGATCCTAGATGTCCTTCCGTACAACGTATGGAATTCAGCGGCAATTTCGGAAGATTGTCTATACCTAAATGTGTGGGCTCCTGCCGCAAATCACCGTGACCGAATGGTAGACAGCAAGGCGGCCGTGATGGTATTTATCCACGGTGGTGACTTTGGATTTGGTGGCACATCAGTCGCCTACTACGATGGCTCCAATATCGTGCGCGATAATGAGAAGATCATCGTAATCACTATCAAGTACGGTGTCTCGTCACTTTTCATCATTGGATGATTATTGACCTCGCAGCTATCGACTCAATGTATTTGGCTTTCCGAATGCCCCCGGATTAGAGCCTTCAAGGCGGAATCTCGGATTGCAAGATCAAGTAAGCATATGAATGGGTCCCAGACTATTCTTTACTTATATCAGATCTTTAGAGGTTGGCAATCGAGTGGATCTACGATAACATCGCTCAATTCGGAGGCGATCCGGGACGCATCATACTCTTCGGACAATCAGTTGGGGCAGCTTCTGCTGACATATACTCCTATGCAGTAAGGGGATTGCTTCAAGTCCTTGTGTTCTGTTCAATATCATAGACGTGGCTTGCCTAATTAATTTCATATAGTATCCAGATAATCCATTGATCACAGGGATAATTATGCAGTCAGGAACTTACACTACAGGGCCTATATTTCGAAGTGAGAATAATTGGAACCGTCTCTCGAATGCTGTCGGTTGTGATTCCGGGTTGGATTTGATGGGCTGCATGATGCGAATCCCAATGAGCAAGATCGTTGGCACCATGGCCAAGGGGAACTATACTTTCCTTCCGACCGACGATGGATTAACCTTTTTCAAAGATTTCCGGGCTAGAGCCAAGGAAGGAAAAATGGCAGACTTGGTAAGAGCTTCTCTCGCAAATTCCTCGACTCTTTGCTAATGTATTATTGTCTCCGGAATAGCCAACACTAGCAGGCTTCAATAATAAGGAACTGGCATTCATCTATCCTTTGCAGGCAAGTTCTATCAACGAGTCGAGCGTGCGCCAAGATTCTCAGGCGTCCTTCAACTGCCCCCTTCTCGAAGATTTGCAGTAGGTCTAACGTGATGGTTTCCATTGTCGAACCCAAGACTAAGCTGTGCAGGTTGCGACTCGACAACAGTATACCAACTTGGAGATACCTATATCAAGGAAGCTTTCCGAATCTGAGTCCAAAGCCTTGGCTTGGTGCTTATCACTCTTGTACGTGATAGTATCTCTTTTTCAGAAGACTACTAATTTTCTCCAGCCGAGATACCTTTCATCTTCGGGACGTACAATGTGTCAACACCATACTCTCAGCCTGCATCAAAAGCCGAGATTGAAACTAGCAGATATATGCAAGGTAGTCGAGATAAATTCCTTCCCTATAACGAAGCACATTTTTATCTTACTAATTGAGAATATAGAAGCATGGGTTGCATTTGCCAAAGATCCCCGTCACGGTCTAAGCAATTATGGGTGGCCACAGTTTAATTTTCAGAGTCAGTATATTTCTTATGAGTTTATACTCTTTGAAGTCATCTATGAATCTCAAACTGATGCTCTACTATTCTTCTTTGGCAGGTGATTCATTGGTCAATCTTGGTGTCGGGAGCAAGTCGCCTGCAAGTTTGACGTCGGCATTTTCGTGGGATAGACACTGCAACTATAGCGATTCTATAGGGCAGGGTGAAGAACACTGAACTGACCTGATCCCCGGCTTATATAAGATCTTAATAAAAGAAGTTCATCCGAACAGAGAAGTCACAGCATTTAGCTCCAGGGGTTCAGCTGAAAAATGGAATAATTGAGTCAAATGGATTTTTATTTAGCCCAAGGTCACTCATTTATTATTGGTCTGGACCTGTTTTCTCTGAGACAATCTGGTGGAATTTTCCACCGATGGAGTTGCAGCCTTGGCGGAGATTTAAGTTGTACCTTGATGCCATATATGGATAGTTTCCGGCCAACGTGATGAATGTGAGACGACGGCGTCGGTCGGTGGGGTCCGGAACTGTCTGGATCGAGACATGCTCAAACGTCCGCTTGTCCATTTCAATCCGAAGTTTTTCCGACGTTTAAAATCACCGTTTCCAGTATTCAAAAACAGCAATATATTTGCCTTTGTCGTTCTTTATCGAACTTGTTGTCAATTTTCACGGTCGTTCCATCGCCTAAGGGTAGGCTGCAGACTCCACCAAAGTATCTTTTAGTTACTGGGATCAGGCAACCCTGAAATTTGACAGGGGCTCGCCTCCTATGTCATGGATTCTTCAGACTAGTACTTGTAAATGTAGAAGAGGAGTCACACGGTCGCAATTTGTATAGGGGATTGGCGGAAACTGGTGACGAAACTCAAGCCACATTGACTTGCGTATATCCGCAACTCTTCACCTTTATGCACCCCGCGTCCTCCCCCAAACTAATTTATCCGGTACTACTTGCTGTGGTGGCATTTCAATCGAGAACGGTTCTTCCAAGTCGGAAGGCGGACGCGGTGCCGTTTTCTTGAGGGGGGTGATCGGCACGATGGCCATGTTGCTGATCGCTTTAGCTGGGCCCTCTAGGCTGGTGTCATCCTACGATTAACCGGACTGTGGAGTCACAATCTTGACTTGAGACAAAGTTGCTCCGTGCTCTACACGGTACAAGCATCCACAGGTCCCTAGCCGGAGAAACTTCCGTATGGAATCGACTCCCTTATAAAACGGCCAACTCCCTGGCACTGGCAGGCCGTTCGATTTCAATAAACAAAATACTCTACTCAACCTAATCCTCGAATCTGCAAGCCAGTTCATTCCTTTCTTTCAATTCTTTCACCATGAAGACATTCCTTGCTCCTCTTTCCGTCCTTTCGCTCGCTCTCGCTGGTCTGAGTAGCGCAGCCTCCCTTCCCACCAAGACCCTCGCCAAGCGCTCCGACTTCTGCGACCAGTGGGGATCCGTCCAAACCGGCAGCTACATTGTTTACAACAACCTCTGGGGTCAGAGCTCCGACACCTCTGGCACCCAGTGCACCGGTGTGGACTCGCTGAGCGGCTCCACCATTGCCTGGCACACCAACTGGTCCTGGTCCGGTACTTCTAACCAGGTCAAGAGCTTCGCCAACATTGCTCTGCAGTTCACTGCTAAGCAACTGAGCGCTGTTAGCAGCATCAAGTCTGTCTTCAACTGGAGGTAAGTCGAAGGCAGTCAGGAATTCTTTGTGATGAAAAGCGCTAATCACATTGTGAACAGCTACTCCACCACCAACATCGTCGCCGATGTTGCCTACGATCTTTTCCTCAGCTCCAGTGCCAACGGCTCTGAGGAGTACGAGATCATGATCTGGCTCGCGGCTCTGGGTGGTGCCGGTCCCATTTCCTCCACTGGCTCCGCCATCGCGACTACCACCATCAACGGTGTCAGCTGGAAGCTCTACAAGGGCCCCAACGGCAGCATGACCGTCTACAGCTTCGTCGCTGAGTCTACTACCACCAGCTTTTCCGGTGACCTGATGGAGTTCTTCAACTACCTCATCAACAACCAAGGCCTGAGCAAGAGCCTGTACCTTATTGATGTCCAGGCCGGTACTGAGCCTTTCACTGGCACTGCTGACCTTAAGGTGTCCTCTTACTCCGCCACTGTCGCATAAATTGAAGCAGATGTGAGTGGGAGAAGTATGCCATGTTAGTAAATAGCATTAGGGATCGATCTGAAATCAATTCAGCATTATTCCTATCGCCTTTTGTTGGAATAGTATATTTTTCTAGAGTAATACTTATCATCTATATTAATAGTCGATATGATACGTAGCTGGAAACCTTCCAGCCTATAACTACTGGCATAAGTTATTATACATTATTGCCGCCGACTCCACTCACCGACGCAAATATCTCTGCCCATACTTTCACCAGCTGCATTACTGTATCATGATCTGTTTTTTCAACAGTTTCCGATACAAAGTCCACCGCATCTAACCCGGGCGCCTGCCAACACTGCTCGAAGTATAGCTTACCTCGCTCACCGACCATAGCATCCGAGGAAGCAAAATACGCGCGAACACTGACTCGAGTCCCTGCCGAAGATTCACGGGCCGCTAACGTTTGAACGCATTCTGCATAGTCCGAACAAGCACCCCAGTCCTGGCCATCACTCTTTCGAAGACATTGGAGAGCCTCGCTATTCGCTCCCGTCGTGTTCTCATTAAACATTAAGGGCACGGCGAGGCGGAAGAGCTCAGCCAGATCTTTTTGCGATATTCCGGCATCGCGTTCAATAGCCTGATCTTCGGCATTGGGATGTGAGTGGTCGTTACCATCTGTGACATCACTACTTCTTGACGACAATTGATTGAACAGAGCACCGCTTGTTGCTAGGACGGGAGAAGCTTGGGTGACGAAGAAGCGCGGGATATGGTGCCACAGTGTGAATGCTTTAGTCGGCACGTACCGTGCCATTTGCATCGTCGTAACGCGCGAGTGCTCAAGATCAACCCAAGGGGCTATGAAACGGGAAGGGGTTCAAGTTTAGATTTTCGGAATCAACATAGCTGGGATCAGATGGATGGATGGAAATACCTATAAATGTAATAGCTGGATTCACCAGCTCTGGACATTTTGCCCACGTATTAAGCAAGTACATTGTGCCAGCACTATGGGCGACTAGGCTGACGCGCGGAATGCCGAGATGTGCTAAAAGCCGCGGCACCAGGTCGGTCCATGCGGCGATTCTCTGCGCAGGTGGGACATCTGTCGATGCGCCCATTCCTGGTCTGTCGACGACGAGCAGACGTACACCGGCGTGTTCAGCGAGCGGGTGCAGAGGGACGCCCAAATACCGCGATGCAAACATGCCTGGCAGAAACAACAGGGCGGGGCCTGTGGGACTCCCAATGTCGGCGAAGGAGACGGTTAACTCTCCGCATATCGAGTCGAGAGTGACGCGCTGGTGAAAGCGGGAGGTAGCAATTAAGCTATGAGGATCAGACATCCTGGGTTGTTGTTAGTATTAGGAGGTTCACGTTCCAAGGTTGAGGTGGTCGCTGACATGGAAAACGGGCGGGTACAGAAGCTCCGGTCCCACGGGTGTGGGTCAGTCACGGGTGGGCCGTCCGAGTCGGGCACGACTGAAGTTATATTTTTGATTTGGATGGAAACAGTATCTGTTCTTATACGTGATGTGCGAATGGGTGACTCGTGTAGTGGGGAAAAATTAAGAAAAAAGCAGACGTCAAACTTGAACTCGAGGGCGTCAAGTTGAAAATATATAATAAGTCTCTGGGGTTCCACACTGCTGCTCCTTGCTATAATAGTGCTAGTGCACCCTTGTTTTGTATACCAGTTTACGAAGGAACCAATCACAACGACTTCCAATAGTATGAGAACTTCAAGCAAGTTGGAACGCAGGAAAATGGTATCATTTCAGCTGGTTATACAGGGAGATACTACCCGTGGACTATTGTTGAGGCGTGGGTGCCTAGGACATTTCAGCCTCAGGCATCCAGGCCGCCGTCCTTGCGTCTCTAGCCTGAGCCTGAGATCGTTGCGCTCTCTTCTCTCTTCATACTATTACAGCCTTTAACTTTTCATCTATACATCGCCTCCCATCACCGACTACTAATTATTAACTACCATATACTAGCATATCTTCAGTTTGCTCAGCTGACCTCGCTTCGCAATGGCCCCCACGAAATGCCAAGATTCCCTCACACAGCAACAACATAACTCAGAGACAACACAATCCCTTGGAAATTCATCATACGAACAGCCAAACTATCTCACTATCTCCCACTACTACTCTCATCTCACTTGGAAAAAGGATGCAAGTGAATGGTTTTCACTAGCAGAGGGCGCTGGAATTGCCCGAGATCGTGACGTTAATCCTACGCCAAATGGACATGGGCACCCTGCTTACCTCTCAACGAGTCTGTCATATGAGGGCGGACTTGATCCGCGAGTCAAAGACCCTCCAACGAGACCTCTACTTCTTACCTACTATCCATGAAGGCAATGGAGCGCCCCGATATCGCAACCCATTGCTTGCCGAGAAATTCCCATTCCTAAACCAACTGGTGGATCTTAACGACGAGCAAAATATGCCTTTGAGGGGTCGAGGGTGTACGAGTGGAGTGATGTCAGCCTGATAAATTTAGATTTGTTACAATCTACAATGAAGTGGGAGCAGTATATGCGCCCCGAAGCAAGCTGGCGCCGCATGCTGACGTACCAACCACCCGTATACACGGTGGGCAAGTTCGGTGGAAGGAGCGGACGATTCGGTACACGCTGGACCCAGTCAAAAGCTCCAGAACAAGCGAACAGCCTCCAAATAGAAACACTCTGTAATTGGATTGCCAGCTTACTACTTAAGTCGGAGTGCGAAATCTCGATATATATTGGGGGAAGCTTGACTACTGATGTCAAGCAGGTGCATCATGGGAGAGCCACAGGCTGGCGGTCTAGGGGGGGTAAATGGTGTCTGGAATAGAACGGCTAGGGAATTCGATCTTGTCCTAGCTCAAAAGTATCCCTTTGTGGGTTGTCCGCAGTACGATTCCGATGGCGAAGAAGAAGCTCGTAAGCCGACCCAAAACGAGTCCATTCTGGCGCAGATTTATGGGCTTCGCCAGGAAATGCCTAGGACATAAAAAGATCTGGATTTTGAATCCTTCAATGAGGGCTGTGATAGGATTGTATTATAGTGAGTCGGGTTTATGCATGTATCATAACGCCATGGATATTATGCTCCTCTAAAGTAGTCGGTTCGAGTTGTGTGTAGGGGACGCAGGATCAAGGATGCCGTTTCAGCTTGCGCCCTGTCCGGACTAGCCGCTGAGACCCAACGGTTCCTCTCCTGAAACGAATTACTACCTCATCGTGAGACAGTTCTTTGTTTCAAGACGCATGTCGTTCGTCAGCGTCCAAGCCACGGCGGGCCCTCCATGAACACTGTGGAGACCCGGTCCAACAAGTCGTTCTGGCGTTACCCTACAGTTGAATGAAACAGCCGTTGCGTCACAGAGAAATTGTCTCTTACCATAATCATAGTAAAAGATAAATTGTCAGCTTCAGATGTAGTGCCCAAGGCGAATCAACTCTTTCCGCAGAACGGAGGCGAGTGTTCAGTGGACCATGAGGGGCATGATTGAGAAGGCGCGTATTCGTTGCTAAGAATAACAAACGCTATGCTAATCATAGATTTAGCTTGATGGCTGCATTCATGGTATTATTAGTAGCCCTAGATGAGTTATCCAGACGAAAAGGGTCGCGAAGCGCTTCGTGAAGAGAGGAAGTGCTGTAAGCGCTGGCGGAGGAGAAGGGCGCTTATATAGAAGTACCAGGAATCCCATCCGAAAATAGGACAACGGTTGCTTTTTTTAGCCCACAGACCCTAGGATGCAGAGGAGATGACGGTCGGAACATTGCATGCATTGCCAGATGTATTGTTAGATGCATCGATAGCGTGGGAATATCACAACAGACTGAGTGGCGGGGGATCAAGTCGATAGATCGACTACCTGCCCCCCCTCCCCCCCCCAAAAAAGCCAACCAAGGCGGAAAATTGATTCCCCTCATGCGAGGTGGCAGACTATTCCACCGCGTCCCACGGTCAGGAATCATTAAACCCTCCTCCCGGACTAGAGGGAGAGGGAATAATGCCCCCCCTTCTGATGCATCTGATCGCGTTGTCATCTGGTATGTCCAGTTTCCAAGGTTCTTCCCCTCGAACACGCTGCGCGACCCACTACTCGTGGCGGGCCGTGTGACAGGGGTCATTTGGCATGGAGCAGGGATCCCCAAAGTGCGAAAGGGTGGGGGACTCGCACGGACATGATCTTCTACGGTCGGAACCTGTCAGTTTTTCCGCAGTGATTGGGTATTTCGCTGGCACTGCGGCGTCAAATTGAAACTCGGATTGCCACATTGTTCTATGAGGCTGTAGGTTGGTTCTTCGCTCTAGTTTCGGACCGTACGACCTGAGCCTAATCCACCTATGAGCCTGGCAGAAAGACTCCCAGCTGAAATTGGGGGCCCCCTTTTTTCGACGAGCCAGGGTGAGGGTCGTTTTTATCTCGGGTTGCCCTTTTTACCCTGTTTCTTGAGAGGGTGATACGGGTGCGCAGTTTTTGTCGTTTGGGGAAGGAGATAGATAGAACGGCAGTAGAACTCACTATGTAACTATCCACGCAGAAGAAGGTTCCAAGCTATGTGGTTTACCGTGTCCCGAACCATCTCCTGTCCCGGGTGGGACGTGGTGGAATCTGACCTGGAATTTCCCCCCACGTCTCCCGAAGGAGATATGAGACGGTCGAGAGTTTCATAGATGATCTAAAGTACGGAGTAGAAGTACGGAGTAGGTAGAATCCATAGGAAGGCTGGGCAATGGGCATCGGTTCCCTGGCACACCAAAGGATGTCCCCGACACCAGGGGAAGAAGACCAATTGATTGGAATTGAGTGGGAAGGCTGGACTCCACTGCGGGCGTTCAGTGGGCCTAGCGTTGATCTCCTCGCAGACTCGGTGGAGTCTTGTCAGCGAGTAGCTGGGTTTGCGATCATCTACTTGCGGTCATAGAAGCGCTGGGTACTTCGTGGTGGCGACCAGGTATGCTATTATTAGGGTTGTAGGAGGGAGAACAAATTGAAGCCTTTCTAAATAGATGGCTGGGAAGAGATGGCCATATTCGACGCGAGGTAGAAGAAATAGAACCGCGCAATATTTGGGAGGCAAATACCAATGTACTGAGAAGACGTGATGAATCTAGGGATAGGGGGGAGGGCACAGACAAGGTCTGATAGACAGCAATAGTGTGCATACCCGACGAGGCCATCAATCGTTTGACTTTCTTTTTGCAGGGCCCCAGGGCCTAGGTATTCAGGTCCGTGTAATTCGCCATCTCCACTACATTCCCCGACAAATCAAGGCCTATCGCCCCTCCCAGACCCCCAGCGCGCGCGACAAAGGATTGAGCATCTCAGATCCAACTATGCAGGCTTGCTCCAGCTCCTCCGCGACCCCCTGCCCCATCCTGCCCTCCTTCAGGGACTCTGACTGGCCCAGCCAGCCTTGCAGCTTCCTAGCCAGCCGCCCTCTGGCGCATACCGGAGCTATATGTAGTGAACTCTTCCCACTCGTTGGATTCTTCACGGGAATCATCCACATGCTCAACGTCGTCACCACACTTTCCTTACCCTTTTAATATTGTCTTTTATCGCTCGGTCGCTCCCTCAGTCTCCTCATCCCATAAACCCACTCGATTCAATAATCATTCAAGACAGCGTCTGCTCAATCTCAATCTATTGCCATAGTACGGTGGGCTGTCTCTCGGCTCAAATTCTCCGCGTCGGCAGGTCTCAGTCTTTCTGGAGAATCCTACAGTTAGGGCTATCGATAAGAGGGTTGACACGACAACCTCTGCTATCCTTACAGCAACATTCTTTTTTAACTACACTGCTATATCCTGCTGGTTCAGGAATTCCTTACTATTTCATTTACATTGTGCCTCATCGACGTGCTTTGTCTTCCACTTTGTCTTTGTTCATCAGCGATACTCTCCGACGACAAGCTTATTGTCTCGTATTGTCTCCTTGTCTCGGCTCAAGCACAACGGGCTTTGTGACGATCCAGACAACTGGTTGCATTTAATTCAACAGCTTACATCTGATACCCCTCCCACTCCCGGACTTCACCAGCTGGTTTCTATAAGCCAGTCCAACACCACTATCCAACATTCATCATGGAGCAAACCACGATGCAATCCTCTACCTTCAATCGAGCAGCTCTCAATGAGTTCGTCACCCAAAGAGTCTCTCGCGAGATGGTAACGCACCTAGCTCGTCAGGCTGCCCGGGTCATTCGCTGTGAAGCCCATGTGACCAACACCGTCAACCAAAATGGCCAGCCCACGCCTCCCTCGACTCCTCCAATGGAGGAATCCGACTCCCTGCCACCGCTTCCTACCATCGAATCATTCATCGCATCCCTCGTTGCCCGATCGCAGGTCCAAGTGCCTACCCTTATGAGTTCCCTCGTGTACCTCGGTCGTCTTCAAGCCCGTCTGCCTCCTGTCGCCAAGGGCATGCGATGCACCGTCCACCGGATATTTCTGGCCTCTCTGATTCTCGCAGCTAAGAACCTTAACGACTCCAGCCCCAAGAATAAGCACTGGGCACGTTACACTGCAGTGAAGGGGTATGAAGGATTTGGCTTTTCTCTGCCCGAGGTCAACTTGATGGAACGTCAGCTGCTCTTCCTCTTGGACTGGGAAACCCGCGTGACTGAGGAGGATCTTTTCATCCACCTTGAGCCATTCCTTGCTCCCATTCGTCAGCGCATGCAACTCCAACACCGCGAGAAACTGGCACAGGAAGAACAACAGCGAAAGCAGCAACAACACCGTGAATGGTATGACTACACTCTCCCCTTAGCAATGAAAATAATCAGCTAACCTTTCCTCCAGGCGACGTCTGCATGCATCGGCGGACCTGCTGGCCAGCCGCCTGCGTCGTCAGAAGGTTGAAGCTAGAGGTGATAATCGTCGTGCTGTCGATACATCTCTGCGTCGACTTCCTAGCCATGTTTCATGTCCCAACATCCAGAACCAAAACAACTCACCCCAGTTCGTTTCTGAGCATGATCGCTACACTCCTTACAACCGTCACCGCACTTCACCCCACCGACCTGGGCGGTCCATCTCACCTCCCTCTATCCGTGATGTCCCTGGTCTGTCTCATGCCGAGACTTTTAACTCCCTATGCTCTCGATCATCCAGTGTCGCTCCCAGCTCCCGCGGAACCCCAGCTAGCATGAGTACATGCTCTTCTCACGGGAACGACGATGTCATGGTCAGCGACTCGAACACAAGCCCCTCCACCTCTTTGACCCAAGGCTATGTCAACGTTGGCTTTGAATCCAAGCAGCAGTTCGAGCCCATCCGCCAACCCAGCAAGAAGATCAAAATTGGTGGCCACCACCATGGTAGCGGCTTCGTCGCCAGATTTATTGCTTCCACTGGATCCTACATGGGAGGCCGCATCGGTCGCCCACACTCCTAAGCGAGCTGGCCTCGTTCCGTCTCGTCACTAGTCGCTTTCTTTCTGTCTTCACTTTTCTGATTCCCCCCACGCCTTCTGTTGCTTCTTGGCAAAAAAATTTACCATCGATATGTATTCTTTCCGATAATACCCTTCGTTTACGCCGCCGAGACTTGATTTTTTGGACGTTTCCGTCATGCGAATGACTTTGAATCCTTTTCAACATACTACTACCTCTTTCTTACACTCTTTACTACTGCATTTTGGCCCCGGCACCGGCGTTCTTTTTCGTCTGATCTACATCATCTTTCGTCTTTTGTCTGTTGGTCGCATTCTCTCTCTGTGCTCGGGATTATGGGTTTGGTTGGGACTGGATGTCTAGACGCTTTCTGATGTATCTTACGCATGTACTTATCCCTTTTTACACATGGTACCGGCGTTTGACGGACTCATAATTCTATTACATACACGTGAATTCCGCATCCCTTTCCTTGAAACCTTCCAAATCCAAAACATATTGGTACTTGTAGATCTTTACCCTGGTTGGGCCGCCCGCATGACGGGGAACGCGGCATGATCAAGCCGACTCCAGGTGCTCGACCTGCAGCTTGCCCACTTGCTCAATCTGGATTTCGTCATGCTTGGTGTACGCGACTTTGTGGACAGTATACCATGGTCTCTGATCGTCCGGTGGTATCCTAAACATCTTGTCAGTGTTCGTGAAGCTTTGGGTAGTGTTGATCATGTGGGGCGGCAGCTTTACCGGCATAGCGAAGTAGACATAGGCCAGCGATATCAGGCATATACAAACAAAAAATACAAAAGCACCCCATTTCTGGCTCGCAGCAAGGAGACTGGGCATAGCCCGAGAACAGCCGAAATAGAAAGCCCAATGAAAGCCCATGGCGATGGACATATTGAAAGACCTTATTCTTGTCGGGAAGATCTCCGACCAATCAAGTAAGGAATGCTGAACCAGCCAATACTCCACGCCACGGCATGTAAATAGATAGCCACGATGGCGCCCGTTGATGCTCTAAAAATGTTTGGATCGCTGCTAATACGGTCCACACTGAAGCTTTTCATAGCTCCTAGGTAACCACCCACATATGCCAAGGTAACGATTTGCAAGATGATGCCAGTGAGCAAAGAACGACGTCGACCGATGAAGTCTACAACAAACAAATAACATAGCTCCAAAACTGAATTTTCCAGCGTGAATGGATCACACATCCAGCGGCCCTTTCTTCTGCGAGGTGATGTAGAAAGACTTTATGCTAGGGTATTCTCACAGATTGAAGCTTGTTCAAGGAACAGCGGAGAATCAAAGAGCTCTCATGATCTTTTCCAAACCTTCATGATTCTCGCAATCGGATCTGTTCTTTCTTACCGGAATGGCGCTACTATGCACCACCCATATGGATATTTTGTCTCGGCTATGAAGACTTTAGATGATAGCTTTCTTGCGAGAGGCCTAGAATCTATTCAGGACCTCCTTCTTATAGGAAGATTCGCAATCTATTATCATATCGGTAAATGAATTTTGCCCCGTTCCTCGGGTCTTATCGGTGAGACTAACCTTAATATAATTTAAAGGGACCTCGATCTGGGAACTGACAAGACTCTGCATGAGAATGTGCATCGAGCAGAATTTACATCGACTGCCTCTTTCTACCTCTCGCACGGGTCTCATGCATGAGCAACTCCAACGACGAGTCTTTTGGGGATGTTATATGATCGATCGATACAGTTCAGTAACTCTCGATCGCCCTGTTACTATACACGACGTATCAATTCAGGTGGAATTTCCCGCCGATGCAGATGATGAAGGAATCGAAGCAGCGGAGCAATCTGGATCCTCCCCAGACTTAGAGAAAGTTTTCCATCACTATCTGCCTTTTCCACTTCTTGCTGAGCCCTTTTGTACACAGAGCTATTGCGGACTAAAAAGTAGAGAATAGCACGCAAGGAAGTGGTAGTTGTGTCACTTCCAGCAAGTCTATAACTCGAAGTTAATATATCTGCTCCATCGTTCAAGCAATTGGAGCTTTCTGAGTCTTACAAATTATTGCTCAAATGATTTATCATGTCGCGATTGGATAACGGTTTGCCCTTCAACTCTTCACTCCGGAGCCATGTTAGAAAGTCGGGCCGATGGCCATGAGTTCCATCGAGGGTTTTCTCATGATCATCGATGCATTCTTGGGTAATCTGTAATACCATGAGAATGACGCCAGATTCGATGAATTGAAAACAGGGAGGGAGACTCACATTCACCATAGTTCGAAGCGGGTCGGCGATCTCAATAAACGGCTGGGCTGTCAAAAGCTTTGCGACCCAGCTGTTCCCCATCAACCATGGATGTAGCGCCGGAACTTGTCCAACGACTCCTACATATTTTAATCCAAGCTCAAGACCGCCGATCATACCCATGACTTCTTCACGTTTCTCCCTAAAGCCAAATCGGCGTCGGAAAGTGATGGCTCCGATCACATCAAAAGCATACCATTGTAGTCACACACCCAGATCTACCTTTTGGCCTTGAAGATGTTTCATCGCATCAAGAAATATACTAGTGCATTCATCTGCAAATGGTTCCAAAGACTTAATTGACGACATGGAAAATTTCTGCGCCACAGGTCGCCGCAATGCTTGGTGGGCAACTGGATCTCTTATAGTAAACAAGCTAGGCATGGTTTCTCCTTCAAAGGTCGGACTGAAAGCATTATAGAATGTTGACTATATTTAAAATTAGAAAAATGGTCAATTCGCTACTCAAAGTACCTACCTTGACAAACTTGCTGCTGATTCCATATATAGTCGGAAGCGCCGCGGGGTCAGAGATGTCGACTGTGTTTGGACTTGTTCGAACTATAGGTCCATATTTCTCATGTAGGCTCATATAGAAGTTTGGAGCATCCCCTTTGGCGATCCTGAAAGGGCGGTAGAGATATGTTAAGCGAGCCATGATAGGCCCGGGGATCGATCTTAGTCCGGGCTTCAATGCCGTTGTAACATATGATATAAATATGAGAATACCAACGATAAAAATAATTAAACCTTTGAAGCCATCCCGCTGGTCAGTATATGCAGTGAAAATACTCATGATGGGTGTTGTTTCCATATTGAAATTATTGACCATCGTTTCGGACACGATATTTCGTAGTCATGCAAGGCCCAGACAGATACCTAGATTCGCAATTATATAGCAAATACATATCAAGTAGATGATCTCCCCGCATTTTTCACGCCGGGTCGTGCGGGGGAAGCGGTCTCTTGCCACTCGGCCTGACATGCGGGACCTATCACAACTTTTCAGCTGAGGGCCAATTTATTAGGAAATTCATTGGAGGTTTTGCATGAGATGATAGATTCGGACAGTTCTTAATGATTTGAGAGTTTCAGGACCTTTATCAAGTAAACTTTCTAGCTCTTCCATTGCCAGATAAAAAAGGTCAAAATGTAGGCCCCTTTGAAGAAATCAGATCCTGGGCATTCTGGAATACAATCCGTCTACTCGTCTGAGAATCAAATATAGCCCCTAGTCCTTCGTCAAGCCTCTTAGCAAGGCTTTCAGCTAAGGGTGCTGGAGTATATGGGTAATCACTTCCATATAGTAACCTGGATGAATCTACCAATCGCAGTATACCATGAATCTGGTCGGGAAATGGAACCCCAGCAAGATCTATGAAAAAATGATTTTGCAGGAGCTGTTTAATCTCGTCTTCCGTAATCGATTTCCCCAAGAGGAATGCGGAAAATTCAGCGATACGTGAAACAAGGGGTGGGAAAGCTGCTCCGCAATGACAGACGATGTATCTGATCTTGGGGCATCTAGCCACTGTTCCAGAGGTCAAGAGACTAGCCAGAGCACGGCTTGTGTCAAACATGAATTCCATGACCGGACTGGGCACTCCATGCATCGGAGTTACATGCTCCACTGAGCCATTGTTGATGTTTTGAATATTGCAGCTGGTTGGATGAAAGAAAGCAATGGTAGCGCGCTGATTCAATTTCTCGAAAATCGGCTTCAGTCGTTCATCCCCGGGATATATTCCATGAGAATTGGTCAATATCTGAAATCCGATCGCACCTAGATTATCCAGCGCATGGTCAATCTCGGCCAGTGAACCTTCGATATCGGGCAAAGGGAGCGAGGCGAAGAACATGAACCGCTTTTTGTTCTCGACGCATATTTTGGAAAGTTCCTCGTTGACTTGACGCGTCAATTTCCGTGCTTCGGTATTATTGCCTGGGGTTAAATGTGTACCAGGCGACGACATGCTCAGAATAGCTTTTTCGATTTTCAAGTTGTTCATCATCTCTATATGTGACTTTGCACTCCATTCCTGCAAAATGGTGTCAGAAGCTGATTTGACTGACTCGTTCAACTGCGACCCACTGGAATAGCCGGCATCCCATCGGGGTGGCCCCTCCCAGCGAAATCATTCTGGAGGCAATATTCCCGGTAAGCCGGCGGTACACAATGTGCGTGAACGTCAATTCTTTCCATTTTCAAATGGTGATAGGTTCTCTAAGTGAAAGTTACGGAAATTTGTGAGAAATTTTGGACTAGTCACGGATCGAGCTCGGGGATCGATGGTTGGAGCGGGGAGGTCATGAATAGTCCCCGCAATAATTGCTTGTGAGATTAGAAGTACACGCTAAACGAACCAAATGCGGTCGTATGTCTTTAAAATGGCGGGGCTTGTTCCAGAGCCCCCCTGCATACCTGACACGGGTTTTCTACATAGTAAAAGCATTTCTACACCGCATGATCTTGGCACCCATGGCAAGCACATAGTATATTCTCGGTAAATTAATATCTGAAAGTTGGATTCAACCTGCGATCAAATAAAGTCTGCTGTAGGAATTTCCCTTGGCTCATAAATATATCCACGCGCAGTGAGGAGTCTGATCTGAATGAGCTTGAGAAACCGATATGTGTTATCTAAAATGGGGGTTTGAACGCCTTCCCTCCGGGCTACACGCAGGGCGTTTCCTAAAATCACCTCAACTTCCACCGGATTACCTTTATCCACGTCAACCAGCATACTCGGACGAAAGGATAATTCAATGGGCGTTGCGTCAACCATTTCATTCACAATATTCTCCCCGAGATCATAACCGTCGGCCTTAGCAATCGCGGCCATTTCAGCCATGCCTGGTCTTATCAGGCTATGTTCACCACCGGACCGCCGTATAGCAGCATTATCAAGCTGAGTGATAGCACACATTGTGTTGTAGATACCGTTCCATAGGGCCTTTCTCCATCGGTAGTGAACTATGTCCTGCACGACCATAGCATGCTCAATACCATTGCCGTTATAGACCGATGCGAAGTCTTCCAATATACCCTGCTCATACTTGCGATCTAGCTGTGTATTATGAAACACGCCCAGATGATATCGATCAGGGTCATCGTGAATGACATGACCATTTCTTTCGTGAGCACCAATGTAGCTTGGACCGGAGAGAACTGCATTTGTCGGAAATGCATCAATTATCGAAGGCTCGGTATAGATTCCATTTTGTAGTAAAACAATGGTAGTGTGATTGGGTGTCACGCTAGGCGCGATTATTTCCGCAATATTCGTAATCTCAGGAATATTCTTCATTGTGACGATAACATAGTCAAATGGACGTTGCAAGCTGGCGTCGGGAATTTTGCTGACCACTATTTCCAAAATTAGTGAGCGCTCAGAGAAGAGGTGGGTGCTTAGTTACCATGACTCGGTCTCCAGCCGGAAAGCTTTCCATGATCAACAGACTCTATCTCAAAGCCATCTCGCACCACCTTTTCGTAGTTTGAGCGGAGTACTGCAGTCACCCTTGCCATACCAGATCGTTCAAGAGCGACGCAGGCCATCGTGCCGACTCCGCCCGCGCCAATCACGAGAATTTCGCGCTTTTGTTTTTGTGGTAAATGTGACATCTTTATTTTCAGAACAAAAGTGCCAGTTTGATTTATTTCCCATGCCCAATTGCCACAATCCTGTGTCTCCGATGACTTTCTCAAAATAAAAACGAAAAAAATCGTAACCCCCGCACCGACCCCCCCGCAGCAAAGCCAAATATATTATGTAAGTGCGCCTTCCATCTACATTGATAAGACGTTTTGAACCAATGACGCCCTCCTAGCTTGTAGCGGTCTTCCTCATATAACGGAATTTTGATTTAATTTAACATAAATAATGAATGGTTGGTGTTTATGCCAAAGCTGTCAGTTCAGTAAAATCCATTCGAAAGGATATTCAAATTCGAGTATTTCATTTCATTCATGGCCAGGCTTTTTTTATTATAAATATTCTCTAGATAAGTATACCAATTGACTTTACCCAGCTCATTTGAGATGACATCCTGGTGAAATTATTTCGTGAATTGGTCTTCAGGACCATGTATCCGATGCAAATCATTAAGTGGTACTTCATCGGTATGTCTGTCTGTTTGTAGATCCTGCCATGAGTTCTGAGCCAAAGACCATCCAACTGTATCCGAACTTTCCCCAAGACGTGAGAATCCGGACTCTCTTTTCACCTGTTGAGAACTTGGATTATAACCCGGTCGCGGTGGTTGGTTTGTGGATTGATTTGTGAGTAAGGCCCGAGGAATAATCTTCGAAATCAAAGGCCAGAGCGGAGGCAAACAAGCAGCGATGATGATGGTGCCACTTTCCAGAACCGTCCAAATGCCGAGCTTAGCAGATAACCCTACCCCTTGTTAGTATGCGCTCTAGCTATAATTACGGCGCATATGGCTGGTTGGATAGTGATAAATAACGTACAGGTTGGGTCGGCCATGCCAGTAGCACTCACTTCAAAAAATGTCCTCATGCGAAAGATACTTGCGACGGTACCTCTATTTCTTTATTAGTAAATTAGTTGCGGGGATCTTTAAAATAACTTACAGGCTTCCCAGTAGAAAGACCCCCGTCAGAGCGAGCTTATGCCCTATGCGGGTATGTAGCTTCCATATGTATGGCAAGGGCAGAATCAGAATCAGAATATCCGTAATGATATTTGGAGGCGAAACATATTGGTAAAAGGCTTGCTGATCAAAACACGAGCCTCCGATTATCGCTTTGTTCCATGTAAAAGCGATTGGTGAGCATTGAAATATCGCAGCAAAAAGCACGCCAAGGCCATGGCCGATAACAATCGCGCCCACAATATATGTGATGATTCGAAAGGTGCGAACTTGGAAAATTCTTGTGTAGAAGAAGAGGATCGAGATTTTTGCAAGCGTCACGCTGAAGGGAAAGTCGAGTATCTCGTTGGCGTAGAGACCCTGTTGAGATACTGTTTATATGAAGCCACCTATTCGATTCGAAGGGGCCTTACCTGGTTCAAAATGATCAATTTTTCAGGTGAATTAGCGACGTACTCTAGGTGATATCCTATCACTCCTCGTTTGGCCACTAAAAAGGTCTTCAAGTTAGCAAGCAATCATTACTGGTATCACGGGCACAACATACGATAAATATAAACAGCTGATTGTCCCAAACTAGCCATCTGTGTAAAGCATTTAGCATACTAGTGTGGACAACTAGAATACTTCGGGTTGATCAAGTTTCTCACCAATGCTGGAATAATGAGATAATCATCAATACCGTAGGCAACCTTTTGGATCTGCCTTGTGTATAACCGCCCCCCCAACGACTAAAATCTGGACGATAGCAATTGCGATTGCTACGCCTATCAACTGCTGGCCGCAGTAGGCAATTGAATCGCTCATGGTAGCTCTGCGTTTGACAAATCTCTGTCATACTCTGATGGAATTTTTGTAAAATAGAGAAAATGGTCCTCAAATGCTCGAATTTCATTCAATCAATTCATCCCGCCAAACGGGAAGTTTGGCTTTTTCGCTCCAGAAGGATTCAACTATGTGGGTCAATCCTGGTAAGGAAGGGGCATAATACGAAGTCGATGGCCTAAGATCGTCCAAATCACTCAAACCTAATTTCTTCTCCAAAAATACTCCACAGAGTGAAATTGTTTCATTTCCATACAGGTATGATGGATTTCGTTGACGTGGGTGTACTTGAAGGTTTGCATGTTTGTGAGGTGGGTCTGAACAAATCTACCCCGTACTGTGCTGTACGCCGAGCCTTTCTAGACAATCACCGAAACGCCACTAATCAACGAGACTTTCCCAATTGACACATGTTGAAGTTAGTGTGAAATCGAGGTTCGGGTTCGTATGATGCAGTCGGTATGGTAATACTAGTAGGACCATAAGTAGGCCTTTTCTCTTTTTTGTCCTAGTTCGTAGTATCACTTTGCAATCAACATGAAAGCTGAGTTTCCTGGTTGATGTGTTTTCTAGTCTTGTTGACTACAGACTGAAGCTTGATTTAACAGGCTAAATATATCACTTCCCTGTCGCGCCACTGAGTTTCTAGCGCTCGGTATTTGACTTCGATTGGGAGGCGAATGGGGGCCAAAATCGGTAGCTGCATTTGTCGTTGATCATCTGGTTTTGAAGAAGAGAGATTTCCCCTGCCCAGGTTTTTTTTGGTCCAAAATTCCGGAAAATCACAAATGTCGTTGGATCTGATTTTCCCACGGGAGCAGGTCAAAGAATAAATTGGATCGGAATTGGGAGTGGGCCAGAAATGCAAGCAGTGCCCGGAATTCGCCCGGGGATGGGCCCTTGTCACACTAGGAAGCGCCCGGCCCGGGCCACTTGGTTAATAGATTTAACGATGGTGCCTCGCCCAATGTTGCGGAATCGGGGTAAAATCATTAAGCAATTCTAACGGTTTGAAAATGACGCAAAGCACCTTCATTTCAGAGAGAATAGCTTCATTGGCCGAGGATGCAAAATCCCAACAGCTCGATGACGAGACTCGCGCGGCTGCCCTAAATGCAGCCCGAGACTTAGTGGCAGCACTGGAATCGCCGGTGGAGAGGATTCTTCAAGATGTTGTGTTGGTATGTCATCTTCTGGTGGTTGTACTCTTTCCAGGAGCTATGTTAAGATAGCAGAACTCCCCTATCCTGATGGCTTTACGTATGGGGGTACAACTAGGCATCTTCTCGCAAGTCAGCCAGAACCCAGAAAAAGGAGTCAGCTGCGATGACATTTCTGAAAGCTCCGAAGCAAGTCCGATTCTTGTTGGTCAGTTGAAATTAATTGGGCGGAGTCGCCTATTTTCTTGCAACGTTCAACCAAACAACAGTCCTCCATATTTGCGATCAAGCCCCATGCCCTATGTAAAGGCTGGAGCATAGATTTGATCTAACTTATATATTATAATAGCTCAAGTTCTCCGAGTTCTGGCCGCTACAGGATATATCAAGCAACAGGATGAACAATTCAAGCCGTCGGCTCTCGCGATGGTCATGGCAGATCCAACGATTGAAGCAACAACTCGAGCTTGGTGACTCACAAATAAGCTCCTCGCTCGAGAAGGAAAATAGCTAACATCAGTCAGTTTCGACATCGGAAATGTATGCACAATGAAAGCTCCGGAGTTCTTTCGCCAGAACAACAACAAGTTTCCTGATTCGATTACAAACACTCCCTTTCAGCTTGGAATTGGCACCGATCTGACCTACTTTGCATGGCTCGGTCAGAATCCTGATTTGGCCAGAGACTTCCAACAATGGATGACTTTGAAGCAGCGTGCTTCCCCGAATTGGATCGACTGGTTTGATATTCAAGGTTGTATAATAGATGGCGCCGAATCACAGTCATCTACGAGTGTTCTTTTTGTAGATGTTGGAGGCGGGGAAGGCAGCTATATGAAACAGTTCCAAGAAAGCTTCCCTGGGGCATCTGGCCGTTTGATCCTGCAGGATTTACCGCATGTTATTTCGGGTATTGAGAATCCACCGACAAATGTCGAATTGGAGTCCCATGACTTCTTCGCTCCTCAATCTATTCAAGGTATTATATCATTCAGTCACCTCAATAAACCAATCTAACAGGCGTTTGTAAGGTGCTCGAGCATATTTTATGCACTGGATTCTCCACGACTGGTCCGACGAGCATTGTCGCTCCATTTTGACCCACATAGTGGATGCGATGAAGCCTGGATACTCGCGACTTATCATTCACGAGCATATTCTCCGGGATTCTGGATGTGATATTCCGTCAGCATGTATGAGTGTCATGATGATGGTTCAGGTCGCAGCACTTGAGCGCAGTGAGAAGCATTGGCGGGACTTATTAGGTTCTGTTGGTTTGCAAAACGTCAAATTTCATCAACCGCCCGGAACTGGAGAAGGAATCATCGAAGCTACCAAATAAATTATAATCCGCCAAATAGATTGTATAAATACCTGGCTCTTGATATTGGTTCTGAATACAAACCAAAAATCGCCAGTGACTTCGGAGTTCTTCATTGAGTGTGGACACTCTATCATGAATGCTTCATCGTCCACCCGTCCACCTTTTATTGCGAACTCTAACAATCTTCTAGTTAGATTTCTCTTACTTCTTTGCAATGCCTTCAACAACCTCTCTTTTTCCTCTAGTCAAATTCTAGACATAATTTTTCTTTGCGAGAATGATGCTGATGCTCCAAGTGAGTTCAAATCGGCTGCAGTCAACCAATCACCTTCCAGATGATCATTTTGAATTCATCATCCCGACCAGTCGAAATTAAAACAGTGAAATATTTACCGAGATCACCCGCCACGTCTACCTTTAAGAATATTCCCAGAATTGCTCAGCTACACTGATCGCTTCCCGAAACTTGACAGCCCTTGACAGTTGAAATAATATCAATAGGAAATGTGTCTGGCTGCCTCCCAGACAAATGGGTATAATTTACAAATCTACTCCATAATTATTGACAGAGTGATCCTATCCTCGTTTGTTTTCGAATGATAGGCCGAGTTTGGATCAAAATGACCAAGGTCAATCGCAAGTCATGATGTAGGCGATAACTTACCGAGGGGGAACACGATTATAAGAGCCACGCGATAGGCGTAGCGGAACAAAGTCCGCTCGCAGCTCATTATTGGCTTGAACGACTCAGCTTGTAAGCACTCACTGCCGAGAGATAAGCGGGGGTGAAGAGCTCAGATTAGCGGCGCCTGCCAAATTTCGCCAAGCCGGCCTCTTTCGAGGCTGCTGATTTGATGGAAGCCATCATGTTGCTTGTTTCCCCACACTTTGCCTTTTGAACTCAAAGATAACGCGGTCCAGGGCCTTGGGTACAAGCTTCTCCGCACGATAGACGATGAGTTACATTGCTGCCATGTTGCTCTTAAATACTCGACAGTCTCGTTTCTGGCTCGATGTGTATCATACCCTCTGAGCATACTTTTCAACTATATTGCGAATTCATATCTTACGGACCTGACCTTCTTGACACCAGGCATGGTGAATGTGAATGAACACGATCATGATGAGGGGTTCTGGGCCCCGGGAACAGTCGTGCTAGAGGATGGTAAGGCACTGCCCTCTCGGTCGGCTTAAAAGAATATCTAGTCTGTTCCCTCATACTGACCTGTATAGTTCATCGCACGAGAGACCAGATTATCTTGTTTCCTACTCCCAGTGCCGACCCGAATGACCCCCTTAATTGGTCGACTTCTCGCAAAGCCCTCAACTTCACCCTAGTTAGCTTCTTTGTCCTTTGGACTTTCGTTCAGCTCGATATCGGCTTCACGGCATGGGGCCCCATGGAGTCTGAGCTTGGCTTCTCCGTTGATATTCTCAATGCTGGCGCTGCGGTCAACTATGGGGGATTGGCGATCGGATGTTTCTTCTTTATTCCCCTCGTGCACAAATATGGCCGACGACCGATCTACATATTCAGCTCCGCTCTCCAATTTGCATCGTGTATTTGGCAGGCTCAAACGTACACCGTCGGCAATTTTATTGGTGCAAATCTGATCTCAGGTCTAGGCGGAGCGATCAGTGAGATTGTGGTCCAAATCACAATTGCAGACATGTTCTTTGTTCACCAGCATGCGACTATGAACGGCTGGTTCGTTATCTTCCAATCCGCAGGTGCTTTCCTTGGACCTGTCGCATCGGGTTATATCGTCGACTCTCAAGGATGGCGTTGGATGTGGTGGTGGTGTGTGATTTTCTTTGGGATCACATTGTTCTGCGTCATTTTTCTCTTTGAAGAGTCGAAATATGTACCAGTTCTTGATGGGCAACATGTCGTCTCTGCACCATCACCGAATAGCCAGGCAGTTACTGCTACTACGGAAGGAAAAGATGAGATCACAGCAGACATGAAAAAGACAGTTTCTGAGCCTGCTACAAGCCAAGCGGTAATAAACTCCGAGATCAAATTAAAGACTTACTGGCAGAGAATGGCATGGATCACGAAGACAGATGAGCCTCTTTGGCCGCACTTTTACACCCCTATCGTGACCCTGTTCACTTATCCGGCAGTCACTTACGCCGCTCTCACCTATGGATCTACGCTGGCGTGGTTCGCAACCATGACCTCTCTTCAAGCATCGTACATGCTGTTACCACCATATAACTTTGACGCGATCGGCATCGGCTTGATGAATGTCGCACCTTTCGTCGGCGCGCTCTTGGGCTTCCCCAGTGGTGGATATCTTAGTGATAAGTCCATCCTCTGGTTATCGAAGAGGAATGGCGGTATCTACGAGCCCGAGATGCGTCTTTGGCTTGCACTTCCCGTTGCTATCTTGGGTCCAGCATCGATCTTAATGTTCGG